ACCTACGAAGGCAGCATCGTTAAATGACCTAATCGAATGCTCTGAAGCGCATTTCAAATAAAGACATTGATATGGGAATGGCAGAGATAAGATACTTTCAGTAGAAAACTGCGTCTTTCAGCCCATCAAGGACAGAGACTTGGCAGAAGGTATATAAACACCCTTGTTAATATTCGGTGCCCTCCCCTGAACAACAACACATTAAAATATTATTACTTTTAACAAGCTATTTTACAATACATAAATACACTTGAAAGATAATTTATACATAAGGTAAATTTTTGGTAATACCTCCTAAATTAATAATGACTTCGTTAGTCAGTTTTATGTCCATCGTAAGCTTCTGTTGGGGTCCTCGTCGTAATACCCTCAGCAAGTGTATAACAATAACACGAAACCGAAACAGCCAACAAACACAAACAACTAAATGCCGATTGCAAGTCAAACTCGAAGATTAGGCGAAGCTGAAAAAAAATTTGAAAGGTGCACGCGAATGCATTGCAAGGCATTTTGTTGCATTTGCAACAAAGGAATGCAAGTGGCAGCGGCTAACAAGTAATTTACGTACACAATCCCAACACATACAAGTGCATTTTTTTGTTGGTTTCTTACCAATTTGGAGTCTGTTGGCCCAAGTAACTAACAGTCTACATCAACGTCGGGTTAATAAATGGTTGAAAAAAAAATAAAGAGAAAGATCTTCAACAATCCCTTAAGCCCAATTATGGGGTATAAAAAATATATGTGTTATGGTAACACTGGTTATAACAACAGATAAATAACAGTAATTTCGATACATTTTAAGGACCATCAATCAAGCACAAGTATGTTTATAGTTTAGGTAGTTATACCAACGATTATATAATTAAATTACCAGAGATTTAACCGATAATAATGGTTAAATCAAGAGAAAGATCTTAAGTGTCGTTTAAATACTTTTCGAAAATATAAGAAAAAATTAAATGAAGGTAACACTGATATTGAAAAGAAGACTAACAGTAGTTTCGATAAACCTTAAGGAGAACCGTAAGTATTTGTATCGTTTTATAGTTTAAGGAGGTGTTATCATTAATTTTCGGCCTATAAACCCAGTTAGTTCAATAAAAATTCAATAATAAATGGTTAGATATTAAAAATCTATTCAGAAATATTTTGTCGTATTTTTATCGTTTTAGTATGTAGTTTATACCACCATTTGTTGTGAAATTACGTCTGATTTGATTATAAAACCACCGAGTTCAATAAACTATCGGTTAAATCAAGTGCAGTTCCTGTTGTTCCACAACAGTTTCATTGAGAATTGTGCCCCGTGTGACAGGCGATGTCTACTTTGAGCCATGGTTATCAGACCGAGCACCTATATAGGCCCACACAATGTATTCCGATTCCGATTTATGACCGGACCGGACCAAGCCAGACCAGAGTCAAGTGGGCCGTCACTCCCGCTCTCCCGGTATATATCACGACGAATCAATGCAATCTCGGATCTACAAAGTGCCTTAAAAATAAAAACAATTTCTTTGATTGGAATGCCTCGGAATCTCTCGGCAAATAGCCTGTGGTATGCCTGGCCTGCTGTTATCAACATCCAAATTGAACTTGTACAAGAGTGTGTGTGTGTGTGTGTTCTTCCACAATTCCGGCTCTCTCACACTCTTGTGAGTGGTTCCTTATCGCGACAGCAACAGGCACCTCCAACGGCAAAAACAATAAATAAGGCAATTATATTGCATTTGTTTGTGTTGCGACCGCAAACATTTCAAGTTCCTCTGCATTTCTTCACATCTTATCAGGGCTGACCATTTTGATGGTTTTGTGTTTCAAGTTATTTAATTTTATTATTTCTTTCTATTATGAAAGAATGACATAAAAGTATAAAAATAAATAGAGCTTAAAAATAGTCTAGGAGATATGCTGATAAAGTAATGACAGTTCAGGGGTCAACGTCATTCGTTGAGGCTTTGTCTCTTTAATTATTCAGGAGCTATTAAGAAGTCTCCTTCTAATTACAGGGTCTATTACACTCTCTAATAACCTGGCTTAGAACAAACAACACTTTAGAGACTTTAAAATATATTTTTTTAAAGCCTCAAACCATTCTAGTATTTTTCTACACCCGACATGTAGAGACTGGTACCAATAAACCCGGTTTCTATTGCCTATTTTCAGGCTCAGCTCAAAAGTGTCACCCATCAGATACCTTAATAGGCAGCTAGGCGCAAACGAAAAGCTTCACTTATTGCCTCAGGGGGTTGGTTGTGATAAATACCCAAAGATTTGAATTTTGATTAGTCATGAAACTTTCTATCCACCTTGAAAGGTGCTCTCTTCTTTGTTGCTTTTCTAAATCAAATTTATTATATTTTGCACGCTTTCTGGCAGAAACGATAAGCGTTGAAAATCTCAAGCACACGTGATAGGAACCCCTTCACGCCTCACGCCTGTACACTCGGCCGACAGGCCATTTCTTTTCATTTTTTATTTGTTCTGCCACTGATTTCCATAATCAAAATAATAATCGCACACCACTGCACTTTTGGGCCCACACACCGAAATCATATATTTTTTTATAAACGGCTTTACTACGCAGTTGAGTTGGTGGAAGCCAACTGAAGCCAATGTTGGCCACACACAGCTGTGGCAATTTTCAAAAACAATATGCAATTTAGTAGCGTAATATTTACTGAGCCAAATAATAATGCAAAAATATAAACACATATATATATATTATAATTAGGCAAAAAAAAAAAGCTTTAATATATTTTTAAGGCATGCTACAAGTCATCCATCCAATACACCTATTAAATATTATTGTATTTACCTATTTAGATAATCATAAAAAAAAATTGAGCGGGGGGAGGAGGCATGAGTTATATCAGCTGCCTTTGCTCCAATAGAAAGTTCGTAACTCAGACGGTTCTTTGTAAACATTTCCACCTGTCCATATAACACATTCGCGGGCGCATATAGAATCGACTGGAGCTTGACGTAAGCAGAAGAGTTGCTAGATTTCAATATATAGAAGCCCATTTCTATTTCTGCTGATAAGCCGGGTGAGATTTAAATCAGGCCTGGAAATCCCCGGCCCTGAAACCCACAGATGTTGTGTGTTTCGTAAACATGGTATGATCTCTGTTCTGAAATTACACAGTTTCTTGTCTAAATATTAAAATATTAAAATATTTCTTTGTTTGATGGCTATCTGGCTGTAGAGTCGAACTTCCTGCGATAACTGGTATTATGTGATAGCATCGCAACTCAAAAGATTTCATTTCATTTCATCGCAGTTCCTGCACGATAACTAAGTAGTTAATTAAATTTTAATTTTAAACTTTTTGTTTTGATAGCCAAACATTACTTTTTACTGCCCATGGCCCTGCTCTGGTATAGATATGCATATAAAGCTTTCCTCATGTCGGGCTGAACCACTCACTATCTTATCAAGTGGCTCATTTCCGTCGCCAAAGTGTGTGCCACGTGTGGAGAGATTTGTTTCCAAGCTGAAACTATTTCGCCACCAAACTGACACCCCTCAGACCACTGTGCCACAAATTTTGAAAAATTCACGTGGGGCGAATAGTAGATGTGTGTCTGTGGCCCAGAGCAGAGTAAACACCCGAAATAATACTGGGAGGAAGGGGCTGTTCTAGTGATTCACTTGAAAATGTGTGTTGGGATTGTTTTTCAAAAATATACAATGTTTTCGTCTAGTTTTTTGTTTACGACTTGAAGGCCAGTGCCAAAGGCAATGCTAAGGCTAAGCAAACTTGTAGAAACAGTTGTTCAATTAGCCAAAGAAGCAAACTTTATAAATGTGAAATTTTATGGCCAACTTCTTGTAAAAAGGTGGGCATTGTCTTTGGCCAACAAACCCCCGGGAGGCAACAGTTTGGGGAAGTATATTGTGACACCAGACCCAGACCCAGAGCAAGAGCCAAAAACAAGTTTCACTTTTCGCATCAGTCTGTCTTGTTTTTTCCTGAATATCGTTTAGAACTAGTTTTGGTAACTAACTAAGTGCCGCCGCACATGCTAATCAAACCACTTTCGGTTGATATTTTTCCACAATAAAATCGGTAACCACGATCATAGTTCGATCAGTTCGCGCAGCCCAACCATCTGTATGCAGAGACGTCAGCGAAGAATTTGCATAAAATACTTAAGATTCAAACTTCTGGCAGAGATTGGGACAAAATATACAAATATATACCCATACAGACATAAGCAGCCATTAAGAGTGACGGAGACTCAAGGCAAAGACTGTATTTCCGTATATTAGCATCGCATTTGTCTCTCCCGATTGCACCAGCAGCAGCAACAGGGCGTATACGTAATATTCTCCTCAAGTGCATAACCCATCAAAGATAAGAAATTGCAAAACAATATATCAGAAAGTTGGAAAAAAGTAGTTCCCCCCCTCTTGGAAGTATGTAGTATCTGATGAAGTTTTAAAACTCATCGACTCCCAAAAATGAAATCAGCTTATCAAAAATATATAGATGAGTAAACACACAGACCTCTCGGGCCGCTTTCTCGCCCATTTCCAACCCATTCTTATCACCTGGGTCTTGTTTGTGTGCCATTAATTATGGCTGCTTCCTTCGGTAGCTCTGCTGGCTGGTGGTAGAGGCTGATTAGAACTTCTCGAAAATGTGGCAACCGTCAACCAGCCAGCCAACCACTAATGGAAAGTTACGAAAGCTTCTCAATTTCTCAGAAAAAAAACAGAAATATTGCATTTTGTTCGTTCTGCAATTCTATTTAAAGCGTAGCTTACAATTGAAAATTAAAAATAATGGAGTTCTTTTTAGAGATACCTAGAAGGAGAATAGACCTATTTGTGGTAAAATATTAAATTTAATTTCATACTTTTAGATAGAACTATAGATGTATGTATGTGATACGTATACTTAATATTTTAATATGTTTTTCTCAAATAATCATATTAATCTACAAACTGATAAGCTAATACTACTAATTATTAGTACTGTTTGACTCACCTGCATTATGGGATATGCGACACGTCCCTTGCCGAACCGCTCGATGATCGTCAACTTGGTGGAACTGGCCATCACTCCGGCTATATTTGAGGACGAGAGGACGGGACGCGACGGCGGCACAATGGGAACAAAGTCACGATTCCGAAAGGCAAAGGTGCGATCGAACGAGTTGCGGCGATCGCTGTGGGAGCGTCTATAGGCCACATGGTTGCCATTGTTGCCGCCGTTGGAGCTCGGCGCCCGGCTCGAGCCGCCCGACTGATAGGAATTGTTATTGTACTGGGATGCGCCCATATAGGATTTGGATTTGCGATACTGTTTGCCGGAATATACAACCGGCTCCGGATAGCTGAGCTCGCTGTGATTGCTGGCCGTCTCCGATCCGGAACTGGTCGATAAGGCAGAGCTGGCCGAGGAGGCCGATGAGGAAGCGGACGAGGTGGAGGCTGCGGCTACGGTGGTTGTCAAGCTGGAGATCATCGCTGGCTTGGAGCATTTGGCACACGGCACAGTCAAGGCGGCGGTTAACAACTCACCGGAATTGACCTTGCTGCTGGTGGCCACTAAGCTCTCCGAGGGTGCCGGTGTGTCTGTTGCTGTGTTGCCACTGTAGCTTATATTTATTATGTTGCTACTATTTCTACTGCTACTGTTGTTGTTGTTGTTGTGATTCCTGTAATTGCTGGTGTCGCGTGGCAAGGATTGCAGGAATATCTGTTGCCTTTGGGGCTTGGCTTTCTTGCTGCTGCGCTGCTGTTGTTGTTGCTGCTGCTGCTGCTGATTTTGTTGTCCTTTACCTCCATTCTTCTTATTACTGTTTGTTTTGGCCTTGTTGCCATTGTTGTTGTTGTTATTATTATTATTGGCACTGTTGTTGTTGTTATTATTGTTGTTGTTACCCTTATTGCCCCCTTTATTGCTCTGTGTCATTTGCGTGATGTTGCTGCTGTTGTTGTTGTTACTGTTATTGTTGTTGTTGCTGTTGTTGTTGCCCGCCGCCGGCAACATTGCCTCGCGCTCTTTTTGCCTCTCCTTGTCCTTGTCCGCCTTCTGCCCCAGCGCCTTGCCGTTGGCCTTGTTTACCATCTTCCTTTCTCTATCTGTGGGGCTTGTTCTTATTGTAACCGTTAACCGTTTCGATCGTTGTATCGTTTTACCGTTATCCGTGCTGTTAGCTCGCTCGAGTTCCGTTAGTTTTCTCCGTTCTACGTTCCGTGCGCAATTGGCTTGGCTTTTGATTTTTACTTCGGTTTTTGTTGTTGTCTCTCGCTCGCTCTTTTCACGCTTTTGCTATTTCACTCGCACTCGCACTCACAGTCGCACATTCGCTCTCGTTTTCGTTGACGGGGGAGCTTTTTGTTGTGTTTTTAGTTTGTGCCACGATTTTAAATTATTTTTTTTTTTTTTTGTATTTCACTCACTCTTGGTGTTGCGTTCTTTTTTATTTTTATATTAAATGAGCTTTTGTTGTACCTTTGAAATGTTTTTAATCACGAAATTCATTAAAGTTGTTTCTGCTCTCTTTTTCTGTTGATCTTGTTCTTCTTCACTTGCTAACACTTTTTCAACTGCGTCGTCTTCTTTTAGCAAAAAAATGCTGTTATTTGTTATTTTCGACTTTGTTGTTGTTGTTGTTGTTTGTCGCTGCTTGTCTGCTGCTTTCTACCCCTTTTTGGATGCCATTTACCGCAAGAAACAGAGAGAGAGCGGAGAAAGCACCAGGAAGAATAGGATCAGCGGCAGATATGTAAAGAGAGAGAGAGAGAGACAGACAAAATTAGTTATTGGTTATTTTCTATGTCGTTTCTAAATTGTTTTCAGTTTGCCATTGTTTATATATTCTATGTATGTATATACCCATTTGATTTATTTTTATATAAAGGCTAGCACAGATCTTTTATAATTTTTTCGGCAAATTTATGAACGAATATCCCACACATCACTATCCACCATCCCCCCATTCTTTTTTGGGTTTGTTTAGTTTTTATCGCCTTAGCTTTTGTGATTTCCTTAAGCTACAAAATAAAATTCCCCCCATTTAAAACGCTCGATCTACAAAGTATATGAATTGCTTATTTGTTGAGTCCAAAAATTGAAAACAATAACAAAAAACACATGTATCTCGAGGTATGTTTGTAGATGTAGATACATATAGCATATGTTAGTATGTAAATGTCTCGCTATTTGGCGGGCGCGTTTCTTTCTTTCTCTTTCTCACATCAGCACGATGATGTAAGTTTTCGTATCGGAATTTTTTTTTATTTTTCTTTCTCATTTTAATGTGTTTGTAAGGTGGAGAGCAAACTGATCACAAGATCATTAATATTAGTGGGATCTCCATCACTTATCTCCCCATTAATATCCATTTTATTACTGCACCCGGCCTAATACGTAAAACAAGTTAAGAAGTTAATCAGTTATTGTTTATAAGGGTTATGACTCAATGACACAACTGCACTGAGTTAATGGGTTTTCCCAGAAATGCTCAGCACTAACCGATCTTGAACCCAAATATGATGGACGAACCGCAGAACTGCACTAATTGCTCTCTCTAACAACCTCTTGTATTAGTTTTAGTGCGTAATAGATACTAAAAAAAATGATTTTCGGGTGCCCCCCACACATACTATGATTCGCCAGTCATCGGTTCCATTTGTTGCACAGTGAAGCACTTAGCGCTCAAACTAGATCGTTAAATAAATAATGCCCGGCTATATTTTTGTATTTATTCCAAAGATCCAGAGATAGTGCTATACGTTATTGTTTATAATAATGCGATCTACACTGGAAACTTCGAAGAACCGCCATGATTCCAGTCAATCAGACAGTAAAACGAGTTCTTGGAATCAATAAACAGTTGGAATTACAATTAAAATAACAATCAACCCTGTCGGGTAAGATGATGCACTTTCATTGCATTCCCATTTCATATTTAAAGCTAAAGTTTTTATTGAAATATTTTCAGAGTGTAGATTTAAAAGATTAAATATTAAACTACCTGTTTTAAGGTATAAAGATTAAAGATTAGATGCTTTAACTAATGATTTCCTCGACTGCATACATGCGTACCCTCCAAAGGGGAGGAATCTTGGGTTGAAGAATACATATGTATCTGAAGGTGTTTTCATCTATATACATTCTACAGACATACCTATACACCGCCAAAAAAAAAAAAGAATAGCGAAACCGGAAATGCCAGATGCCAAAACTAACCGAGTGAGAGTGTGGCAGGGGGGTTCGGGCTGAGGGGTGGCAAGTGTGTGTGCCTAGATCGTTATCCGCATTTCTGGTTTGGTTTTCATTTAGGCAGAACCCAATACCATGCGACACCACACCGTACTCCGCACGACACACTCGGCCACCCGGCAACTGTGCTGCTGCAGTTTGGGAGTCACGTAGACCCACTAATTGGCGGAGATCGATAACGGTGATTGTCTCTTCATATATTTACCTGAGTAATTCGGACAGCTCGTGCCTAGGCGCTCATTATCCAAGGTTCACGCTCTTTGCTGCACACGTACTTGACCGTCGGGGCAGTTTGAAGAAATATTGCGTATCCGTATCCGTATCAGCAGCACCGGTTGCAGGGTGCAAGTTCCTCTCAGTGCGAATCGAACCGAGGTAACGGGCTATCGACGTGGCGGACTATCGGCTATCGGTAGCAGGGTAGATGGGTGGATGGGTGGGTGGGTTGTTGGTCAAATGCTATCGACGACGGGCAGCAGGGGTGTTGGATGAGTTAACCGTTCCGGCGAACCGATTACGCCTCACACTAACAGCGAACGGCGTGCCAGGATGGCGGCGATTGGTTCGGGTATTTGGTTTTGATTTTGGAATAATACTCCCGAAACGTGAAGCCAAACCGAGCCGAGTGTAGGCTGAGTTTCAACGAATTCTACTGACAATTATAGCCCTAACTGCTTTGAGGGTCTTTGTCCTGTCCTTTCAGTTTCTTCTTTCAAATATCCCGTTACCGGTTGCACTTGCACTTGCTCTATCTCACTCACACACGTATAAGATCGTTCACTCACACCGATAAAGCCGCGATCACTGTTCGTAACTCTTCTACAACTTAAGATTTTTAATATTTGACTTTGAATTCGAATTTCAATTTCACTTTTTTCCGCTTTTGCTGTGGCGTTTTATGTATTTCTTTTCGTTTCTTTGCGAACCACGCGTTTTTTGATTTTGGTAGGTTATATGTAATAAGCTTGCCGAAAAAGCTTCGAGAATGTTGCGATCGTTTTATTAGTTTATAGAGGGGGTGGGGAGGTGGGAGTCGGTGGCAAGGGCGCGATATTGTAGTTGTTAAATGTTGCACTTGCACCTGGTTTATAGCACAATAAACAGTGGGAAGTGGATAGGTCGTTGCGGTTATGGCTATTTTACTGTATGTCTAACGGTTGCTCTTGGCTGGCACTAGCTATACCCTGGTCTACTTGAGTGTCGAGTCGCTGAGCAACTGCGAGTCGCTGGGCAAGCGAAGACGAACGACACCGCTCGGTGGCAGCGGTTGGAGTACAGTCATTCCTCCAAAATCGAGAAATTTCTCGAACAAAAATTAGAGTCAACGAGCAACGTCAAGGTCGAATGTAATTTTTGTATATGCTTTAAAAAAAAAAACAAATACTATTCTTTAATCTTTGAGATAAGCACTGTTAACGTTATCGAACTGTCACTGTACAAAGGGGGAGAGAGGCAGTGGCGCCGACTATTCTAGAGAGCGACAGTGAAATGTTCGAAACACGTTATTAGCAACAACAATTAAGTCCGAAACGAGCAGAGCAATCGCGCTGCTCTTCCCCAATCGGTTTCACCTTCTCTCCCTCTTGTCCATTCTCGTTTCCGCTCTCGTTCGCTAAGCAAAAAAGCTCCCTCGATCGATTTTAGCTTTGGTTTTGGCTACTAGGTCAAGAGATGTTCGGGCTTTGAGCCATTGTTTGGTTTCGAGTTTTCACTTTTAGGCCCGATTTAATCAGATTCCACCAAGCTGAAAAGAGTATCTAAGCAAACCCAGACAACGAAGGGTAATAAGCTTTTTTTCGATCGGAGGGAGCGGTGTATGTAAATGTTGTTGTAATAAAATACCGGCCGGCGTTGAGAAAGCGCTGACCTTGTCCTCTCCCAAAAAGTGTGAGAGAGGCGGAGAGTGGGTGGCAACTAAACAAAAAGGGAGGGGGGATAGTTGGATCAGGTTGGGGTAGCAACAAAATGATATGCTAATTCATCGCAAGCTTTCACACCATTCACTCTTCAAAGCTCTGGGTATTATGACCATTTATGAGTAAGATATAAAGATAGTGTATCCATGGGATACCCACTTGATCCTTAAGGTCCTCAAAATATTTCAGTTGCAGCAGCCGGATGCAGCGAATGCCGATCACGTGACCAAGGCTGGTCTAGAAATAAATATCGAAATAACTAAAATCACATTGTCGAGGCGTATTTTTGGCTGTCGCCGCCTCAAAACCAAAGCAAAGCGACAAAACAAAACCAAAAATATCCACCAGTTGATAGTCCCAAATGCGATGCGTAGTAGCCACGCGGCCAAAAAGAAATTTCAATTATTTTGCCACCACGAAAACAATCGGGCTGGCTGGCAGTGTGTGGGTACATTTTATAAGACCTGCGTGAATCCACAGTAAACAATAGTTTATCAATTGTTTTGTTTTCGGAAAGTTAACCCTCTTGCAATTGATTTTTCACTTATCTAAGATTGTTATTTTGTTTTTAACTTTAAAGTTTAAACGTTTATGACTCAAGCAAACATTTTCCATTGCGTAAAATCCCCAAGTTTTGTTTTTAACAAAAATTAACCTTACATAAAAATTATTTAAAAAAAAGATAATAAAAAACTTTAGTTTTTAAAATGAGTAATGTTAAAAAAAGAGCTAATGAATTGTATTTGTTTATTAATTAATTTTAAAGTTAATGAATTTGGAGGGAACGAGTGGGGCTGTAGATACATATGTTGCGGCAGCATGTTGCTGATACATTTTGCTTGGCAACATTTTCCAATGCAGGGCTGAAAGAAAACAGGGGTTTCCTCTTTCCCTGATAATGAATGTTGGCTTAAGGCGAAAAAATTAATTAAATTATAAATGAATATTTTGATAAAAATGATAATATTCCTTTTTATTACTTTTTTCAAGTTACAAGAGTACAAAGAATGTATTATTTAAAGCATATAATTATGGGCATTTTGTGGAAAATATGCAAAATGTACAAGAAACGATTAAATGCTTAAATTTCTCTTTTGATTATTGTTTTAAAAGTTTCTATGTTATGAAATACGCTGAGCATATATGGCTCCTGCAGTTACAACCATGCCCAAAAGACTGGCGGCGGAAACACGCTTCAGGAACTGATCCTGCCACTTCCGGTTGGCAATGCACTGGCTGTAGGGCATGCTGGAAAACGAGACACTGTTGTAGAGCGGAATCCAGGCAGGGAAAATCCGGAAAAGCACCGTGTCCAAAACCTTCCGGAGCCGGAAGGACCAACGTTTTGTCAAGTCTCTCATCTGAAAATAGTCGTAAATCAACTCCATATTCAAAAAGTGTTCTGTTCATATTCAAAAAGCTTAATTCTGGCAAAGCCGAAGTTAATATGCCCTTGCAGTAGGGATTTGTAAAAATCTCTAAGCATCTATCTTTAAATAACAAAAAAAAAAAATTAAAAAAAAAAAAATATTTTTTTTAAATTATAAGAAAACAATTACAACAACAACAAATTACTACAATAAAATTACAATAAAAACAATAAAAAAAAGCAAGCTAGAAAAATAAACAAGAAAATTTAATTAAAAAAAACAATCTTTTTTCGGGTTTTTCGGGCCTGCTTAAGTGCAACCTATGAGAATCGAGGAGGAGGGCGCTATTTTTTAATTAATTTTTTATTTTTTTTTTTATTAAATATTTTAAAAAATAAACCATTTTCTGGAATGTTATCAAAGCAAAACGAACGGTAAAATTTTACTCTTCATTACCATTCGACTTCCATGCGCCCTTAAAATTAGGCAATGGAATTATGAGTGTTTACATTTTCCGATTTTTAATTTATAAAAAAACATGTTTCTTTTAGAAATGATGTGAAAATTAAGTTAACAAAGGATATGGAAGGAAGGATGTAAGGATACACATATCGCAAATGTCGGATATAGTTGACCGATATCAGAAAAATTCGGTAAAATGTGAATTTTGAAAAAAGTTCCTATCTTGTAGTTGTTTTCAAATAGCTATAGGATATAGTCGGGCTATCCTTTAAAAAGATCGAATTAGACCACTAAAGTTGGCATCCATAGAAAGTGTCAACTTTTTAACCTAAATAATACCAAAGTTATGGCGTTGTCTATCAATTAAGTATACAAGTATGTCAGCTATAGGATATAGTCTACTATTCCGACTTATATATATACTTCGTGCAAAGGGCAGAAGGATGTGTGCAAAGTTTGAGCTCGATGGCTTTAAAACTCAGAGACAGGGAGGGGTAAAGATAGGGTTTGAGGGGATCTGACCCATGGAAATAAGAGATAACCACCATGGCTTAAAACCGATCCCCTGCAGCCTAACATAAATATGCATAAGTGGTGCGCTTATCGCATTTAAGAGGGGTTCACGTAACATGTCAGCGTGCAGTGCGTTGAGTTTTGAATAGATTTAAGATTTTCATGCATTTTTCCTGATAGAAAATTTTATGAAAAAAAATCAGAACTCATTGGAGTAACACCAAAATTATAATACTCTCAGTAAGGGTATAAAAAGGACAACCTACCTCGACGTAGTTGTACATTGCCAGATCGCAAATGGCAAAAGCATCCTGCCAGCGTTTCTCGGTGAACTGGGCCAGTGATTCGTCCAGGGGCAGCTGCCTGTCCAGGATCTCGGTGAGTAGTGTGACATCCTCCATCCCAGCGTTCATTCCTTGGCCATAGTAGGGCACCATGGCGTGAGCGGCATCGCCCAGTATGAGAGCCTTGTCCTCATAGTGATATGGACGGCATTTGATGGACACCAGGTGCTGTGGTTTCGTCTTGAAGAAGTCCTTCACCAGCTGCTCCTCCCCGATGAGGGGCAGGGCATCGCTAAAGTGCTCTTGGAAGAACTCCAGAAGTTGGTCTTTGGTTTCGATTTTGGAAAACATCTCAAAGGGCATGGATAGGGTGACCGTGAAGGATCTGTCCTGGTTCGGCAGGGCTATCATCATAAAGGAGTCACGTGGCCAAATGTGGAGGTAGTTCGGTGGCATCTGGAAGTCTCCTCCCGCCGCTGGTATACACAGCTCCAGGTAGCCGGTCTCAATATAGATTTGGGAATAGTTGAATCCCGGCAAGCGGACCAGCTGCTGGCGAACACTGCTGAAGGCGCCATCGCAGCCTACGATGAGATCTGCGCTGGTATTGATGGCTTCCCCTCCTGCCTGGGGACCGCTGAACTCCATCGTTCCCTCTCGCAGGTTGACAGTGGATAGCTTGTGGTTGAAGTGGCAGGTTATGTTCGGCAGCTCATCGCAGGCATCCAATAGGACTTCATTTAGCTTCCTGCGACCTACGGAATACAGGCACTGCTGGGTGCAGGGATCATAGATAACCACGCGGGTGTTCCCCTTGGTGTCGTGCAGCATTCGTCCTCGCATCGGAATGGCGGTGGCCAGGACCTTCTGCTCTAGGCCGACGGCAGCCAGGGCCTTACGGCCCCGCTGGGACAGAGCCAGGTTAATACTCCTTCCGGAGACCACAAGAGCCTGGCGTATGTCTTCACGGTACTCATACAAGTCCACGTGGTTACCCCTTCGGGCAAAATTTAAAGCGGCCAGAGACCCAACCTATAGAAAGGGAAAGTTAAGAGATAGTAAGAAAGAAGCTATAAAAGTGGCTTATCTAAACTCGGGGATTAGAAGTTTCCAAAAGATAAGCCTCCCAGCATTCAGATAAGTGCCACGCATTAATTATGCGCTCAAATAATCATAAATTCTGGAGAGTAATGGTATTCTATTCTCAAGTAACATATTCTGGAGAGGTCTACTTACCAAACCGGCACCGACCACCGCCACCCTGCGACGACGCACCTCCTCCCCTGCAGATCCTGCCGCATCCTGGCGACCGTTAACCTCCGAGCAGACGATTCCTGGCTTCATGACCGTTCTTGTGGACCGTTGTCAGCGAAATGATGTGAAATGGAAACCCATCAACGGGCTGGGGAAATGTTCAACGCATAGATTATGTCGGTTAGACAGTAAACGCTATCTGTGTTTGTTTGATGTTGCTGCGGGAAGCCCACCAACTGCTGGGCGTAGCCAAGACGCTCTTCTTGGGGGTACAATAATTTCCATTATTAGGCAAATAAATACGAAACAGTTGTGGATGCTACAAAGAAGCAACAAGTAATAAGAGATAAGTATAACCATGTGGACAGGTTTAATCAAACAAGATTTGTAGCTTCAAAGATGCTTAAAGAGAATTTTAAAAAGCGCGCCGATTATCGATAAACTTCCTTGGTATCTTGTTACATTCCGCAGTCACTGAACTATCGGTTTAAATCACGTTTTTTTTACTTTCGCGCTCAGCATTGCTTGTGAGCTTTTAAAGTTTTGAAAGATTTGCCCAATATGCGTATTTGAATGGGTTCATTTATTTATCTTAAGATAGTTTGAATATTCTACTTTGGGAATTAAACAACAATAATATTTTATAACATGCGTCTGAAGAGAAATTTTTGAAACAGAATGGGAATATATCGTGTAGAAACGCATGTTGATATAGAATTTAGATGTAAAATCTTATACTTTAGTATATACTTTACTATACTTTTTTAAAATAAGATATAAAGTCATATTTTTATTTAAAATAACATCTACAATCTAAATTAAAAATAAAAACATATAAGATGTTTTCAGTTAATAGTTTTATCTATCGATAGGTCCACGCGAATCGATAAAAGCAACAAAAACTCGTGCTACTTTTTTTTGCAAATGCACAATAGAAAATTAAGAATTTCCATAACAAAATACTAAGTTAAAGTCCAGGATACCGATTAGCATGTGCAGGACACTCGCAGCCTAAGGATTTTGAACGAAATTAAAGGAAAAACGGATAAGAGAGCGAACGCAGAGCGGTAAAAAACGCCAACTTTTTTGTACTATAGATAGCATCCAAGGAGATCCACAAAAGGCAAAACCAAAATGGTAATAAAAGTGCGACCAAAATATGGCCAAAATGTGCGCTGCCAACAGCAAAGATTGGGGGAAAATGGTGCAGCGGAGAATAAAAAAAAACCAAAAATAATAAGCTTACAAGAAAGAGAGATTTGGAATTTCCATATCAGCACCCTTTCGATTCATATTCTCCTCCCCCGCCCCCATTTTTCCCCCCACCTGCTGCTGCTGGTGGTGCAATAAATTTGCGATTTTTAGCGCTGTATTCTAAAATAATTTGTACGTCTCGGTTGCAGGGAAATGAAACATCACTGCCCATGGAAATGTGTTCCAATTGTAAGTATGGGAATATCTTCAGTCAATGTCATTTGAACGGAATGGCAGCTGTTTATGAATATGCAAACAACGGCACCTACCGAAATACATACATACGTATATACTTGCTTTTATATGGCCCCTCTATATATGTATGTACAGGAATTGGTACAAACAAATACATACATACATACTATATGCAAATAACGTAGCTAACGAAACGTGGCGTTCAGGTATTTGGTTTACAACGGAATTCCTGGCCAGCGATACCTCCTAACCTACCTACCTGACTGGTTTCTAATGTTTTCGAAAATATTTGGCTAATTTCGAAATTGGCATTCTAGAATGTGTTTCTGTTACACCTTCCGTTTCCGTGACAGACAACCTGTCGCTAAAAATAATCTACATACGAAAATTTCTATTATGAATCAAGGGAATGCGCAAATATTATTGTAAATCTTAATTTTAAAAAGCAAACAAGGTTTCGAAACCTTCATCAAGTTCCTTCATGACATCATATAGGTTCTATATTTTACTTTAAATATTTAAAATATAATATTATTACTTCTCTAAACCCTCTTATTAGTCGACGCCGATGAGATCCGTCGCTTGGGTAAACGCTTCCGCAAACTGGATCTGGACAACTCCGGAGCCCTGAGTGTGGACGAGTTCATGTCGCTGCCGGAGCTGCAACAGAATCCCCTGGTGCAGCGAGTGATTGACATTTTCGACGCCGACGGCAACGGCGAGGTGGACTTCAAGGAGTTCATCCAGGGCGTCTCACAGTTCAGTGTCAAGGGTGATAAGCTGTCGAAGCTGCGCTTTGCCTTCCGCATCTACGACATGGACAACGACGGCTATATTTCCAACGGAGAACTGTTTCAGGTAAGATATGCGACCACCTTAAAGATTTAAAAGCACTGTAAAGAATATAATCTCCTTCAGGTGTTAAAGATGATGGTGGGCAACAATCTGAAGGACACACAACTGCAGCAGATTGTTGATAAGACAATCGGTTTCGCGGACAAGGACGAAGACGGCAAGATATCGTTCGACGAGTTCTGCTCGGTGGTCGGCAACACGGACATACACAAGAAGATGGTTGTTGACGTCTAAAATAGGTTTACAGCCGAATCCTTTTTATACGCAATTTATTTATTCTTTTGTACATGCGCCAGCATCCTTCGTTTATTACTATCACTACGATTATTATGATTATTATTTTTCGATCAGCGATTCTCTAGTTGAATATTGTTATAAGCCGTTAGCGAGCCAGTTCAGTCAGAGTCAGAGTCAGTCAGTCAGTCAGTAGGGCGCTCGCAGTGGAGCAGTCACAGTCTCTAACGTGAGACCAATGTTATCCTAAGTTGAAAAGTGGAATAATGCGCCTCCTACTTACTTCTTTTTAATATATACATCTATATACATATATACATGCATATATAGTCATAATTTATTATACAAATATACAATTAATGAATGAAATTGAAAACCTTAAAAAGCGAAACTAAAACTAAAATGAAAATCAACCAACTCAATGCAAGTGAAGGCAGAAATAAAGAAAACCAAGTTGAATCCAAAGCTCTTTCGAATCGGTAACTCATGGTTTTCCGCGCCCGCTCCTACGCGCCACGCACACCACGCACACATACCCACTCTATCACTCTATAATCGATGTGTCCTAGTTTACGTTAATTATTTCTAATTCTCCTGTGATTTTGCCAAAAACAAAACAAAAAATCGAAAACAAAAATGAAGAAAAACTAAAAACATGATATGGGAAATGAAAATTAAAAACACAAGCACGAGGGGCAGCTAAGCAACCTGCCCGAAGGAGCTCTCCTCTATTGACTTAGTCTAATTTACACGTTGTGTACTTTTTATATATTTATACATACATACTTGTACTAATCGAATGTTATAATCTAACGTATTTTTATATAACTTGACTAACTTGAAAAACGAAAAACAAAACAAAAAAAAAACACACCCAAATGGAATATTGAGACAAGTTTTCTTAACTCTACCCCTTACCCCCCAAAAGTCTAAATGCAAAACTTAAAACATTAATTAACTGATTCTCCCACAGAATTATGCCTCGAAAACTTATCTAAAAATATGCTACATTTTACGGATTATCAAACGAGTTAACTTCAAATCGAATAATTATACATTTAATACATATGAAGCAATACCACGCGGCGCCAAGCGATATTACAGATAAACAATTTTTTTTATACTTCAAGATACTAGTTAAAAAAACGAAACAAAAATTTAAAAAACGAAAAAAAAACATTAAGAATGCATGTTACAAATTTTTACAATTAACAAATTTTGCACAATCGCCACTCGATTTGTTAGCTAATCAATTCAACCATTCGCATTATCCAGAAAAACAAAAGTAATCGACTTGAGATCGAAACTCATTGTAAGAGGGTGGGGGAGGTGAGGCTCCCCAGGCGTCTGCCTGCATTTGCTGGCCAGCAGTCGAAGCAATAAAAAGCAAATCCTTCAATAAAAATATAATTATACACAACAACGAACAAAGGTTTTCCGATTTTGGCCGATTTGGGAGCGTACACGGCGCTGATAAGATATGGCCGAAAGCTTGCTCATCTGCGCCGAGTGGATGTTCAGTTATTAAAAGTTCTTCCAAGTGCCCGGTTCATCATCATGTTGCGGCTGGACACCAAAGCGGGCATCATTGTCTCGGGATGTGCGTCCATCGCCTTTGCTATCACCTACTTGGCTTTGATGGATGACTACTTCTGGCGACGTACTCGGAATTACTCGGTCTCGTTGAGAGCATGAACTAAAAATTATATTCTTGCAGATGGCATGTACGAATTCGGAATACACATTTCAGGTCTTCAAATCTTGGCCAGTTTGGGTCTCATAGTCGGGGCTGTCAAGGTGGGTAGTCCAACCAATTCTTTCTAATGAAAAATACCTCTAATATAGACCTAACCCCATACAGAATAAACATAAGTTCTTTGTGCCCTGGATGATAACCACTGCTTTCTTCATGTATCTGATGGGTTACGTGGCTATTGCGAGCCTGGTCTACGGGTCAAATTGGGTATTTGTTCCCACCATGATAGTTCCATTTACAGGTAATATTATTAACCCCATAAGAGTGCCTGGAAACTAAACATATTCTTATTCTAGTATTCCTTGGCTATGCCCTGTACTCGGTGCAAATAGCCTTCGACAGGATGCGAAAGGAGGAGCCGCCGGCATATACTAATTTGGATACCAAGAAGGATTTTGTCAATCACATATAGATATATATATCTTGTAAATAAGGCCTAACAGTAATCAATCAAATAGGTACATAATTTGTGGGCCGATAAGATAAACCAAAAATATAAATGATAATACTGAAAGTGCGTCATTTGTAAGAGAGTCGTCCTCCCAGTCGCACAATAAAACTTGTGAAATGTTGAAACTGGACACCAAGCGTGGTCTCATCTGCTCTGGAATATTATCCATGGGCTTTGCCATCATCTATTTGGTGCTAAAGGATGGATTTTATTGGCGAGGTGGGAATATTTCTTACATTTCTATAAAGGTGCTTTGAAAAATACTATTTTTTATAGCTGGTCTATTCGATCTGGGAATCCACAGTTCCAGTCTTCAAATAATAGGTAGTATTTGCCTTATAATCGGGGCTCTTTGGGTAAGTAATACCCTATATTTAGAGGCATAATTTAATACATATTATGTTTGTAGCAAAATTACAAGTTTCTTGTGCCTTGGATGTTTACCACAGCACTGTTTTTATACTTAATGGTTTATTTGACCATTGTTACCCTTATCAGGACCCAAGATTGTGCTTTTCTGCCATTGGTGGTGCCATTTACAGGTAGACTTTATAGACTGATTTAAAGGGTATTTCTTTTAAAATGATTTATATTTCAGCTTATCTCGGCTGTGCCCTGATTTCAGTTCGAAAGGCTTTCGACAGGATGCGAAATGACGATCCGCCAGCTTACGCCAATTTATTGGATAAGAAAGTCTTCATCAGTCACATCTAGAGGATATGTATATATATAATATATAGCTGTGTAGATCAACTGATAAGATTATGAAAATAAAAGACTCTGATAAGAGAAAGAAAAAGTTAGACAGTATATATTCCAAAAATATTCCAATTTCTTAACTTCATGTGTTCGTTTTTTATTGCATACTTTTAGGCAGTTTCTTAAATGAAAATATTAAATAAACAACTAAAATATCGTTTCAAATAATGACTTTGTCATGGAGCATCTATTAAGTTTTAAATACTTTTCAACAAAAACAATACAAAATGGTACAAAATATTAGATCTAGAGAGTCGAGCTTCTAAGCTGCCTTAACGAAAGCGCCGGCAAACAGGATGTTCTTCCGGTTCCAGATGACGTACAGGAACGGCCGATCAGCCTGGAACTGGATCGGGAAAGTCATCATGCGGGTCATCATGATCATGCCAGTGGCAGCCGCCGCCTCGGTGCCCTCCTCGTTCACCTCAATGGTGGCCTTGTGGAGAGCCTTCGAGACATAGACGCCTTCGGGGGAATCCAGGAGGTTGTCGAACTCGGCTCCCTCAGTAAACATCTTGGTGATACCCAGCTGGAAGAGAGCAGAAGCAAACATGCCATAAGCAATGTGTTTGGTAAACAGGTAAGGTAAGGTAATGAGGTCATAGCCAACTCAGGGTCTGGTGATCGATAAGATAGTTGGACAGGGTTTGTCACATCCGACCGGGACTAAAATTATACAATTTTATGGAATCGTGCGGCTGATACATGATCTTTAACACGAAACCGCAGGCTGCGTCAAAAGGTGCTGGCCACAGTCGTACTTTGGGTTATCGAGACACCGTAAAACCGATAAGCTACTAAAAATAATTCATACATCAATCTAGCAAGGGAATTTTCTAGATAAGACCCTCAATAAATATTTTCAGAGGCCTTTGCAATGCTGCAACGTGGCCATAAAAATAAAATCCCATTTTTAGTTATTTGGGAAGCTCACCTCCTTCAGTTTCTGATCCAAGTCCAGGGAGTACTCCACCTTGAATTTGGGGAACTTGACGTTTACTTCCTCGACGACCAGCTTGTCGGCCAAGTCCACAAGGTTGACGGTCTTCAGCTTCTTGGCGAGGTCGAAGAGACCAGTGCGCTCCTGTGGCAACAGGACGAACATGGACAGATCCGAGCCCTGGTAGGGCATTTCAAGGGCAGTGCAGCCCAGATCCTCAAAGTAGCCATAGGGGAACTTGGCCTTCTGGTTCATGAACTTCACCTTCACCTGCTCCTCCTCGCCCACCCAGAAGTCGTCTTCCTGGGTGTTTTGTTCGTTGAACTTGTGCGTCCAGCTGCCCTTGAAGTGAAGAGCATTGAGCAGAACCACCCTGGTGTTGTCGTCAAAGGAATCGGCGGTGACCAGTTCCGTGATCTTGCCCTGAGTCTTGGCATTCACCCAGGCATTGATGGCATTAGCAGCTGCATCGTTCAAGGCAAAGTTAATGGACTCTGCCTCGGAGTGGTACTGCTCTTTGATGGCCGCCTGGTAGTCCGCCTTCAGCTGCTTGCCCTCCTGAACGTAGAGTTTGTTGGCCACTCGCAGAAGATTGCTGCCGCGGTACTTCTCCAGCACAAACTGGAAGGTCTGGGCCACCTCTGGGGGGAAGTTGGACACAAAGTGGAGCACCTTGGCGATCTCGTCGGCGGTTTCGCCCTTGGATCCAGCAAAAGCCAAAGCGATGCAGGCCTGGATGGAGAAGGGGGAGTAGACTACGTTATCCTTTAGTCCACCAGCGGCCAGGAGCTGGAAGAGCTCCGAGGTGAAGCGGGCGCCACCGCGAGCGAATTCCAAGTTGAAGTCGAACATATTGATTAAGTTGAGATTAAAATTGTGGGCGGGTAATAGCGGAATTGCGTGTGCGTCCTACTTTCAGCGCTGTCTACACCGGAATGCCTTAAATGCCATTCGAGGGCCACAACAAAAGTGAAAACACCTCGGAAACAGCCGGCGGATGACTCATTACCAAAATATCAAAACAATCAAACAAAAACAGTGGCGTCACCGTTTCCTGCTAGCCCAGGGGATTTCCCAGGAAAAGTCCATCTGTGAATCTATAAATATCCATTTGAATAATCTTTCAGTTTTTTGCTTATTTTTATTTCTTAAGTTTTTTAATAAAAATATTTCAAACAAATATGTTATTATTTTGAATGTGACCATGTTGAAAGGCGCCAAATATTACCATAAATTCCAATTAAAAATGGTACAAGAATTATAGAATAAAACTATTTTGTTTTTTTTTTTAATATCTAAGAAAATTGTAAGTATTATAACATTTAAATTCAGAAATAAATTTAAGTTTTTAATTTTTAGGGTAGTTTATAAAAAAATACTAAAAAACTTCAACTATCGATAACAAATTCAATGGCTTGTCAACACTGGTTTTTCAAGACAGTGTGACCATGAAATGTAGTGCCCCCCGCTTCCCGCCCGCTCAAACGGCCATTGTTTTTCGAGTTTCATCCGCAGCCACAGTGCAAAATAGGTTTATCAATTTAATTTAAGTGTTAAAGTAGTTCTAAAGTGTTGTTTTAAGTCGCGCCCAGACCAGCGCATGCCCCGCCAGCGAATGCTCCACACAGATGTCCTTGTGGGAGAAACGGGACACGAGTTTTCATTGATGTGATTTCTAGGTTTACGTCTCGCCAAAGTACGAAAATACATCATCGGAAGGTGAGTGGAGGGGCTGTGCCTGCAGAGATCACATAGCTGTTATGCCATGCGATCGACCAGAGGCGTCCAGCGGTCCGGCGTTCAGAAAGGGGGGGCTGGCCGTTGTGGGTCCTTGGGCTGGGCGAGGAGGGTTCATTGCACGTCGATGGGTCCTGGAACCTGAACTGCAGCTGCATTTTATCCGATTTCAAGGGCCAAACCAAAACAAGCCTTCGCCGAGCCGAAGAAAAAACCAGAAAAGTGCAACATTCTTCGGTGGTTGCTATTCTGCTACTTCTTGGCGGCGATTCAACCACGGCCCGCACCCCTTTTTGTTGGCAGAACCCCTCCTACCCCAGTCCTCCTGCTGCGACCTATCTGCCTGTCACAATTTGATTTAGGCTGCAATGGTTGCATTTGCATGCATTGCATGTTGCAAGTTGTCCACACAATCGCCGCGGACAATGAGACACCTCCAGGGCCTTTGTGCGGACAACGAAAACATTGTGCAACTAAACAAGAAACGTATTTTTTCTTCCTCCCCAGTTGCAGCTGCACTCTACGAATTCACAACTAGATCCAAGATGCAACACAACGTACACGCCGCCCGACCAGCGCCACACATTCGTGCTGCCCACCATCACAGCCACACCCACAACCACAGCCACGGTCATGGCCACATGCAGCTACACCCTGGTATGGAGCAGCACTTGGCGCCACAGGGACCACACCGCGATCATCATCATGCACGGTAAGAGTCTAGAAGGAGTTCCGGAGCAAGATAGTGAGTCTGAGCTATGAAGATGCAAGATTCTTGGGAAGAAAATGGAAACTTATTGGTTAAATGTGGAGAGTACCTCTTATATAATTGGCATAAAATATAAAAGAATAAAACTAATCGTTTAAATTAAATAAAAAACTGAGAGGTATAGAAAAAATTAAGGGGGCAAGTTGGATCTCGAAGGAAATCAAGCACTATAATTCAGAATTGTTGGATCTCAGGACGAGAGAGAGGATCGCCAGCGTGTCTGGTCTTTATGCGTTGCGGCAATTATGTTAATTCCTGTCACTGACAATCGGTGTGAGACTCATCATCCCATTTTCTCAACTCATAAATTATAATTTCAGTGGCTCTTTGTTCTTTCGCGCTCAGCATGACTTCCGCTTCCGATAACGGGTTTGCTGCCTGCGACTGCGCTGCTGCAATTATCCTTGACGTTCGTAAGGATCGGTTTTGGTTCGGATCGGATCGGATCTTGTCTACGATCATATGTTTTGGGTGAACTCGCTCCGCCATCAGTTGCGTTTTGCCTGCCACTCGGTTCGCACATGTCCAATTTATTCGGCCGTTTATAACGTACACTTACGTACGATTTCCCAAGGATCATGAAATATTTTCATCAGTGCCAAGTGAGAGGTGAAAATTGAAAACGGGTTCAGGGAGAACTAAATGAAAACTGTGAAGAACCTAAGAAGAGTGGTAGAAAGTATGATAGATGTACCTTAAAAGGACTTCCAATGATAGGACACTTTTGTGAAGATGAAACCTTAATTGTGTCGAATATTTTAAGCTTAAGAAGCCATCATTTTAGCTGCGATCCTAATCGCAAATTGCCCATATCAATGTTAATTTGAAGGCTTGTTGCTCTGCCTGATTTGGCGATTATAAATTGCCGAAAATATTTCTCCGCCTTGTGAAATGTATGAGGAGCCAGCTTTCGAGTCCTACCCCTTGTTTGGAGAGAAGAGGTGGGGGGTCGGAGTACGGAGGACGTCGGGGTGTCGCAGTAGGTGCGTCTCAATTGAAACTGACAGTTGGCGAAAAATGACACGATGCGTAAGAGAATGCGGCTTTTGTGCTTTGTTAGGATTTCGTCCATTGTTCCAGCTTGCCGCTGTTGTCTGCGATTCCGCAGGCATAACAACAACAAACAGGCCAAGGGGAGTGGAGGGTTGGAAAGGATTCGAAAGGATGCATGGCTCCTTAGTGTTTTTGTTTCTCCAGTGCCCCCAGTCGATGTACACTTTTGTCGCTCAATGATGGCCTTCCTATAATCCTCTTGGCGTGCATTGTTTGCTGATCTAACCGCAAAAGCCAGCACATCATGCGCCAAAGGAGCTCTTACTTGTTGCCATTGATTAACGAATCATTCCTCATTGCAGCTTGAATCATATCCACATTCAACAGCAGCAGCAGCAACAACAGCAGCAGCAGCAGCAACAGCAGCAGCCGACGCCGACGAATCCCGCTGCTGGGGCTGCCTACCATCACGGCAACACTTCCGGCAACAGCAACACAACCAGCAACACCAGCAATACCAATCAGATGCAAAAGATTCGTCAGCAGCACCAGCATCTGAGCAATAGCAACGGACACCTTGGTAGCCAGCCGCCACAGGGCTTTAGCCACAATCACCTGGCTGCCAACCCGGCTGCCCTGGCCTACAACCAGCTTCCGCCCCATCACCACCCGCCGCCACCGCCGCCTCATCACATGGCTGCCCATCTGGGCAGCTATGCCGCTCCCCCGCCCCACTACTACATGAGCCAGGCCAAGCCCTCGAAGTACGGACACTACCCCAGCAATGGCACCAGCAACAACGTCACCAACAACAGCGGGGGCACCTATGCCCCTAAAGCCATTCTGCAGAATACGTTTAGGAACACCAAGGTGGCTCCACCCCCAGCGGTGGCCCCTGCAATCCACCCAGAAGCAGTCGAAGCCCCTGTTCAGGTTAGCAACAACAGCAGCAGCATCAGTCACCCCAGCAACACCAACACCACCAGCAAGGTCAATGATCCCCCGATTGAGGAAGACACTTTACTCGAAGCGGAGACCACAGAGGAATCACCTCCCTCGTTGGACGGCTGCAGCAGCACCGAACACATAGACGCCGCCGGCACAATACACAACGAAGAGAGTGGCAGTTCCACACGCGGCGCCAAGGACAAGACGCCCATGTGCCTGGTCAACGAGCTGGCCAGGTACAACAAGATCACTCACCAGTACAGACTGACAGGAGAGCGCGGACCTGCGCACTGCAAGACCTTCACTGTCACCTTGAAGCTAGGCGAGGAGGAGTACTCGGCGGACGGGTTCAAGATCAAGAAGGCGCAGCACTTGGCTGCCAGCAAGGCTATCGAGGAGACCAAGTACAAGCACCCTCCGCCCAAGATCCGGCGCAGCGATGAGGGCAGCAGTACGCGAACCCATATCACGCCCACAGTTGAACTGAACGCCCTGGCCATGAAGCTGTGCCAGCGCACCTACTATCTGCTGGATCCAACGCAGATCCCGCCGGCGGACCCTATGCTCCTGCCGGAGTATGGTGCGACCCCGCTGCTGCCGACGCCGGGTCCTGGAATGCCGCCTCAGGCACCGCCGCCGGCGTATGCTTTGCGGCAAAGACATGGCAACGGATTCGTTCCTATACCCTCGCCACCAATGCATCCGCATGGCTTCTACCATGGTCCCGGCCAGCGACCGTTTCCCCCGAAATTCCCTTCGCGCTTCGCCCTGCCGCCACCGCTGGGCGCCCACATGCTGCATGGCCCGAACGGACCTTACCCTCCCCTGCCCACAGTACCCAGCAAGATCACACTGTTTGTGGGCAAGCAGAAGTTCGTGGGCATCGGGCGTACCCTGCAGCAGGCCAAGCACGATGCGGCTGCCAGGGCGCTGCAGGTGCTTAAGACGCAGGCGAACTCTGCTTCTGAGGAGGCTCTCGACGACTCGATGGACGAGGGCGATAAGAAGTCGCCCATTTCTCAGGTGCACGAGATCGGAATCAAGCGGAGCATGACCGTGCACTTCAAGGTCCTGCGAGAGGAGGGTCCCGCGCACATGAAAAACTTCATAACGGCATGTATCGTGGGCTCCATCGTTACCGAGGGCGAGGGCAACGGCAAGAAGCTCTCCAAGAAGCGCGCCGCCGAGAAGATGCTTGTCGAGCTACAGAAACTGCCGCCACTAACGCCTACCAAACAGACTCCCCTAAAGAGGATCAAGGTGAAAACATCGGGTAAGACGGCCGGAACAGCTGCAGGAGGGGCATCAACAGGTGCAGCAGGAGCAGCAGCAACAGGACCCGAAGCGGCTACCCTGGCGGTCAAGACGGAGAGGCGTAAGCGCCTGAATGTGGCCATTAAGGAGAAGCCAGTGGAGTTGGACGATGCTGAGAATCCCATCACGAAGGTAATCCAGCTGCAGCAGATGCGCAAGGAGAAGGAGCCCATCTTCGAGCTGATAGCCAAGAATGGAAACGAAACATCGCGACGACGCGAATTCGTCATGGAGGTCTCCGCCAGCGGCAGTACAGCCCGAGGAACAGGCAACAGCAAGAAGCTGGCCAAGAGGAATGCGGCACAGGGTATGTCCAAGACCCTTCATATTTTTTATTTAAATTTTGATAAATTTTTATTGTTTTTGTAGCTCTTTTGGAACTGCTGGAAGCTGCCGATCCCACTCCCAGTAATGAAACCCAGCCAACCGGCGAGGGCAGCTCCACGGCCACCGTGTCGGTGGTCACAGCGCCTTCGATAGAAACAACTGCAGGCGGCGAAGTGCCCATGATCTCCACGCCTGCGGGACCCATGCCGGGCATTCTAATTTTGCGACAAAACAAGAAACGTGAGTTCTATCCCCAAACCCAAGATGTCTCTACTTTAGTCCCAATTTTGAACACAGCAGCGAAAAAGAAGGACCAGGTTCTGACTGCCAAGGCCAATATGGAGTCAAAGGAGGAGGAGACCAAAAAGGATACAGCTGCGGCCACAGAGAATAACAGCAGCAACAACAACAACAGCAGTAGCAGCAGCAGCAGCAGTAGTAGTAGTGGTAGCAGTGTTAGTGGCAGCAACGATTCCCAAGCCACTGAGGCGGCCAGTGAGAGTGTGTTGAACACCTCAAGTGGCAGCAACACCAGCGGTGTGAGCAGCAACAGTAGCAATGCCAGTGCACCCACCACCAGCAGCAGTGTCGGCAATAATAGCAATGCCCAGAGTGCCGGAGTTCATATGAAGGAGGAACTATTGTACCTCAGCAAGTTGCTGGAATTCGAGGTGAGCTTAGTTTAAAAAGAAAACACCTCTTGCAATGAAAATTACTTAATATTTATGCGCTATCCTGCAGGTCAACTTCTCGGACTATCCCAAGGGCAATCACAACGAGTTCCTGACCATTGTGACCCTGTCCACGAATCCACCACAGATCTGTCATGGGGTTGGTAAGAGCTCCGATGAATCGCAGAACGATGCGGCCCGCAATGCTTTGAAAATCCTCAGTGAACTGGGCCTCAACAATGCCAAGAAATAATCACAAATAGGTTGAAGGACCCGCCAACTTAAGCCCTATTAACTGCAATTTTTGTTGTTGCACATATGCAAGAGAAAAGCAAAGCAAAAAACAAACGAAATACCCGTCCACAAAGCAAACCTTAAACAAAAATCCAAAAACCAAGCTGTGTGCAAATTCAAAAAAAAAAAAAAAGAAAGAAAAAAGTGAAACAATTGAAGAGGAAACAGTACTTTTTGAAATAGCAAATTATTAGTTAATACCTATTTATTTATTTATGTGCAAGTTGTGCAAACTGGTGTTATTATTTTATTTATTTGTTGTTGAGAATTGATTATCGAATCGAACTGAAAATATAATCGAAATCGAGCACTGAACAGAGCCCCGAAAACGTTAATCCAAATCGAGAATCGAACAATAACTAGCCTTAAAAATGCCCCAACAAAATACTGAATGCAGAAGCATATGTTTGCAGCAAATACATATGCCTAAAGTTGTAAGATTAAAGCTGAAATGTTGCAAGCTCAATATAACCACTTGAATTGAATTGATGAACAAAGGACTATTGATACCTCTTAGTTGCATGCGGCGAACGCTTTCAAAAATAAATACAAAATTTCTTAGCACCCACAGAGTGCAGGACAAAATTTGTAGAACAGAGTCAGAGTCAGAAGTCGGAGAAGAACCAGAACGTGAACGTGAACAAATTTTTGATTTATTTTTCAAAGCAACACTACCATTAACCGCTTGTGGTCGAATGCTTGATGAAACTCGTCGAATAATGAATCTATTATACTTATATTATATTAAGTGTTAAGCTTAAGCATCGGCGATTGTCGAGAATGTCGCATACACCATGCACCTGTCAATAGGCCCAGATATCCAGCAAAGATTTCGGAAACAGAGATGCCAAAAATTTTGCTAGAATTTGCAGCTGGACAGGACATGACATGGCAGGCGATATACACGCTGAAACTTAAATAATAAAATACAATTTACATAATCGTTATAATTATAATTATGAATGTTTAAAAAGCCATTTTTGTAAATGTTCAGCTTTTGGCTAGTACTCTCAAGCAGCTAAAAGCTGAACATCCTTATGAATAATGAATCGTGTTGTTTAATCTACTATGTTTTGTCCCCAATTTACATATATTTTTTGTTTGTTTTGTGCACCGTTTTATCTTAGCTATGTTTCTTCCAAAACCCACCCATATATCCTCATACACATACATATATATATTTATTTATATATATATATATAAGGAAGTCGAAATTTCAGTACAATAGTTTTTAAATGCTTTCGCCCGTTGTCGCCAAGTCGTCCCTTAAACAGCACCAGTTGATTAAGCGTTAAGTTGCATTATGTAAAATGTATTTTGTCTAAGCAATCGCGTCGGCAACAATGTGCATGATTCGCGCTTTGCGATCCTATCCTATATACTAAGTGTAAGCCCCAAGCGAATTGTTACCGTTGAACAAAATTGAAAGTCATACCCAGTATTAAATGTATAGATAAGGGCAATAACAATCAGCAACACCCCCAACAAATATTAGACAACAACTCTGGACAACATCGTGCACATTGTTTGCTTCACACAAAAGCTGTTCATTTTGTTAGAAGATTTTGCAGACTCCATTATGGTGGATGGTTCCGAGATCGAAGAATGAGAAGCTCAACGCATGCTTTGCAAAATCTTCACAAAATTGATTGAAATTGTTAATTTTAAAGTGAGATTTATTCACACTAACAAGAGAACAGAGAGCGTGAAGATCTTTTTAAAAAAAAAAACACCAAATAAAGGCATAGGAAGTAAAGAATGCGCATTAGGAGAGAACACATTTATTAGTCTTAAGCCCCACAGAACAACAACCCCCAGAAAACAGTCACTCATTTAGTTTTGTCTTTATCTGTAACGCGACATACATCCATGTTATATATCGTAAACATTATAATATAAAACAAAAACAACCTATAATGAAACTATGTAAAATGTAATTATACAAATAAACAGTGAAATAAAGTTGAATCAAATAGTTTGATGGGGATGGGAAACTCGTTTGGGGAAATTATATTATCTCCAAAGACCCCTCCTTATTGACAACCGAACTAGCGCCATTAAAACTATGATTTATACTATTATGGGGCATCATAAATTAATTTATGTCTCCGCCTCGGGTGCCGACCGCAAATCGCCGTCCCTGCCCTGCCCTACGCTGAAAATATTTGTGACAGGTGGTATAATATGTAATACCATCAGAAAAACCGAATAGCTCCGTTACATAAAGTCTCATAAAAATTAGTAAAATTATATTTTCTAAATTCACAATCAAAACGCTGGCGACAAAGGGTGAGAGGCAGCCATAAACTTATAAATACATAAACGATTGTTAATTTGGCGAAAAACAAAAAATACTATTTCGCAATCCCGAATCGAAAACTGTAAACGGTTTTAATGCCCAAATCAGATTATGATGTGCCGACAGATGTGGCTGACTAATCGATGACAAATATCTATGCAAAATGGGGGCTTAGGTGGGATTTTTAGAAATTTAGCAGACGTTACGGCATACATATGTTAAAAAAAAAAAATGTTGTGTCAATGTTTTCATGCAGAATAAGAGGTAATTAAACTACAAATCGTTTCAGGTATTCCGCTCAGGGATAGGATGGAAATTGGCCAAGATATGAACTGGCTTTGGGGCAATATTTAAAATACTGGGTTTTGCAGGGGAAAAATATGAATATCTGTCGAAATTTTTGATTTAAGGTTTTGATTTAGATTGAAGGAGAATCGAACTACAAATCGTTTAAGGTATTCCTTCCAAGGATCGGATGGAAATTGGCCAAGATATGGACTTGGTTTGGGGCTAAAATGGATATCCTGGATTTTGCAAGGGGTTCCATCAGAAAAATTTGAAAAATCCGGGTCGAAATTTCTGATTTTATGTTTTGATTTTGATTGATGAAGAATCGAACTACAAATCGTTTAAAGTATTCCTTTCAAGGATCGGATGAAAATTGGCCAAGATATGGACTTGGTTTGGATAGCCCCAACGAAAGGCTATCAGGGCCCCTCGGGCTGAAAGTTACACCTTCGATTTCTTTTCCACAAATTTGCCTCAAAATCTGGGAACAAAATATTTTTAAGATTTTTTGTCAAATTTTCTGGGCTGTCCCCTTCAAAATGTGCAAAATGCATGGGGAGCCCCATAGGACCCACTGCGAAGGCCATATCTTAGGAAATATTCATCCGATTCTTGAACGGAATACCTTAAACGATTTGTGGATCGATTCTTCATAAATCTGCATCAAAATCTGGGAACAAAATATTTTAAAGATTTTTTGTCAAATTTTCTGGGCTATCCCCTTCAAAATGAGCAAAATGCATGGGGAGCCCCATATGACCCACTGCGAAGGCCATATCTTAGGAAATATTCATCCGATTCTTGAACGGAATACCTTAAACGATTTGTGGATCGATTCTTTATAAATCTGCATCAAAATCTGGGAACAAAATATTTTTAAGATTTTTTGTCTAATTTTCTGGGCTGTCCCCTTCAAAATGTGCAAAATGCATGGGGAGCCCCATATGACCCACTGCGAAGGCCATATCTTAGGAAATATTCATCCGATCCTTGAACGGAATACCTTAAACGATTTGTGGATCGATTCTTTATAAATTTGCATCAAAATCTGGAAACAAAATATTTTTAAGATTTTTTGTCAAATTTTCTGGGCTGTCCCCTTCAAAATGTGCAAAATGCATGGGAGCCCCATATGACCCACTGCGAAGGCCATATCTTAGGAAATATTCATCCGATCCTTGAACGGAATACCTTAAACGATTTGTGGATCGATTCTCCATAAATCTGCATCAAAATCTGGGAACAAAATATTTTTAAGATTTTTTGTCAAATTTTCTGGGCTGTCCCCTTCAAAATGTGCAAAATGCATGGGGAGCCCCGTATGACCCACTGCGAAGGCCATATCTTAGGAAATATTCATCCGATTCTTGAACGGAATACCTTAAACGATTTGTGGATCGATTCTCCATAAATCTGCATCAAAATCTGGGAACAAAATATTTTTAAGATTTCTTGTCAAATTTTCTGGGCTATCCCCTTCAAAATGAGCAAAATGCATGGGAGCCCCATATGACCCACTGCGAAGGCCATATCTTAGGAAATATTCATCCGATCCTTGAACGGAATACCTTAAACGATTTGTGGATCGATTCTCCATAAATCTGCATCAAAATCTGGGAACAAAATATTTTTAAGATTTTTTGTCAAATTTTCTGGGCTGTCCCCTTCAAAATGTGCAAAATGCATGGGGAGCCCCGTATGACCCACTGCGAAGGCCATATCTTAGGAAATATTCATCCGATTCTTGAACGGAATACCTTAAACGATTTGTGGATCGATTCTCCATAAATCTGCATCAAAATCTGGGAACAAAATATTTTTAAGATTTCTTGTCAAATTTTCTGGGCTGTCCCCTTCAAAATGTGCAAAATGCATGGGGAGCCCCGTATGACCCACTGCGAAGGCCATATCTTAGAAAATATTCATCCGATTCTTGAACGGAATACCTTAAACGATTTGTGGATCGATTCTCCATAAATCTGCATCAAAATCTGGGAACAAAATATTTTTAAGATTTTTTGTCTAATTTTCTGGGCCCTTCAAAATACCCTTCAATGTACCCTGAAAAAATTTTGCCCACTGGGCCTTTTTCCTTAAATCCGCCACTGGAATCTGACCAAGTTATAGAATTGGCTTAAGGGCAAAATGGAATACCTGGATTTTACATAAAAATTTAAGAATCAGATCAAAATTCTTGTTTTAAGGCTTTCATTCTTAAGATAAATTCCGCTGGAAAATAGTTTAAGATTAGCAAAGATATAGACATGGCTTGGAGCCATAAGACATAACTGTCCCATGGGAAACCTACTGTCCTAAAAAACGCAACATTTTGAATAGTGCGTAATGGGATAGGCCCGTCTGCAGCTCCTCCACTTTCTCCACTGGTATTTGGCTAGTTTTTGAGGAAATCGTGCGTTTAAAACAAAAAGAAAAAAAAAAATACCAAAATGAATATGTGGCCGGCAAATGCATAATAAAAACATAAAATAAAATTAATGCTTCGCTTGCACCAGCTTCTTTCCCATTAAAAATAAAAAAGCAAGCACGAATATCTCCCGATCCCGCCCCAGACCGGTAGGGTCCGGCAAAATCAAAGCGTTTCTTTTGCCCTCTGTCCCCATTTGCATATGCATTTCTTTCGAAGATTGGGTCGGGGTAGATACTATACATAAGCTGGGCAACGGGCAATGGGCAATGGGAGATGGTAGATGGGGGATGCGCGACCAGCGCAATTTTCAGTCCCTCTTGCCTCTGATTAATTTATGGCGCTGATAATAATCCGGCAACGCATCGGATCGGTGCCGAGTGCCGAGTGGTAGCGTGTGATTATGAAATTTGGCTTGCCAAAAGAAATCAATATTATGAGCGTGGCGGCGAGGAAAGAAATGGGGACGCTGAAATAGAAACAAGATACGAACCTTTCGGATACGGATTTTGTTTTTGGAGAGATGAGTGGAAATTAACATGTGTTTGTCAGACGCCGTTTGCCGGCTACATCTGCATACATATGCTGATGTGATGTAATAGGCGTTTGATTATTTTGAATTTAGTTTTTGGGGTATGGGTTTGGGTTTTAGTTATTGGATCCCAGGTATTTTTTTTTTGTGGGTTGGGGAATTTGTTTCTTGGGGCTACGGAAATGGAGCTTCACAGACATTTGGCCCGGGCAATTAACCGAATCAATGAAAGTAATTTGATTTAGAAATGCCTGCCTCTAATCAGGCATTAGCTTACATCATTTTAAAATCTTAAATTTTATATAAATTAAAAGTGATGTTCGGTGTTTTTTTTTTCCTTTTTTTGGGGGGAGAACCGGGGAATTTTTTGGTCAAATGAAAGTGAAACCTAACCCAGCTTCTTCGGCCGTTTGGAGCGCTAATTTTGATTTATTCGATAAATTTGGAAAACATTTTGAGTAATGAGATGTTTGACATGGCATTTAGAAGCGAACGCCCATCAGTCTTCGCCTTCTGTGGGAATAGCTTCGATGTTGGTGGTGGTGGCCAAGACGAGATGGCTAAGACTTATTTGCATGCTAAGCTCACTGTTTAAGCGGAAAACAAATGATTGAAGCCAACTAATGATGATTACCGGTGCCCGGTCACTGGTTGCGTGCTCCCGTGATTCGAAAATTTGTGTATGAATGTTCAGCCCCCTTCCCGGGCTCGTAATCGAATTAAAGTTCATCGCGATGAATGAATGGATGGATTGGGCATGATTGAAGCCTTCCTCTTTCGGGTTTAATGCGATCGGATTTGCATTTAATTAGTGTCGGATTCGAGATCCGAGAGGGGAAAACTAATGCCAGCAGGTGTCACAAATATACAAATTTTTAAGATTTTTTTTCATTGTCAGAAAATATTTCCAGTATTTTTTTTTATATCAATGAAATCACTGAACTAATTATTAAAAACGCATCTAAATTATTTTATATCTTTGGCACGTGAGTAAGCCATTTTTTGGCTATGTTTCACATTCTTGGCCACTCAGCTGGCAAATTTAGTTTTAATAATAGTTTAGCCGGTAAAAAAAAAAAATATCTAGAAAAATAAAGATAAAAAAGAGAATTGACAGCCAAGATAACCTGCAATTAAAGCCAGGCCAAATGATGATTTGCGGACTCGATAATTTTTTTGACACGTGCAGGAAGTAAAGACTCTCCGAACCTGCTGAACCCGCATTAGCCCCAGGTCAAATATCACAATAATATATATAGAGAAGAAACCACTGTAAGGTCTATATATATTGTGGAGCACGATGAATGGACTGGCAATCGGACAACAATCGGATTACTTAATTTATGGAAAGAAAAACACTTGCCAGCACCAGCAGCATCACAAAGGAAGCACTTGGAGGCGAGCCGCAGACAAATTGCCAACTTCATTTATTATGCCGAATAATTGAAATCGAAATGAAAGAATTTGCCAGGTGATTATTTTGATTGCCTCCCCCCCTCACCATTCTGACAAGATCCATTCAAATCAGTGGGCCGTTTATCATCCAGCCAGATCCGAAAGATTCAATCAATGGCAAGTGCTGCTTGAATTCTATAAGCCATTGCATAATGATGATCAATTTCGTAGGAGTTTTGGGGCTTTGTTTATTTGCATAAAAACGAATGGGATTTGGTAGGAGGTAGGAGGAGTATAAATAAATATGATTAGACAAATTGATCGATGTCAGACATTGTGGAATGGCAGGCAGGCAGGCAGCGGTTGCCTTTATTTATCTATTTATTTACTTTTTGTCTTTGTTTCAGCGGATTTGTCAAAAAATAACTAATTTGCCAATGAAAGAAAACATATAAAGTGTCATGTTCAGAGATAACACACTGCCAATGGCTTTAGAAAAGATAAAAAATTGAAAAAGTGTTGAGGGGGATTATATCAAGCACTCAGGGAAATACTCTAAGATTTTTTAAAGGTGTAAAAGAGTTGGGACTGAGGATGCTCTAAGATAGTAACTTATTTAACTCAGCATCTAGGTACACTAAAGTTATATTAAAAAAAGAAATAAAATCGGTTGTCAAGGATATATTTATTTTATAAAACTGCTGCAAGCATAAGAAGAGTTTCAATGGTGCTTTAGATAGTGTATTAGTCTTAACTAACAAGCGAATGTCTAATGGCCACTAACAGACACATTGGTAATGATGGCTGATATGGCCAAAAACTGAAGCGTGCATAATTAAAATGTTGTCTCTGACCCCTTAGCTCCTATACCCTCAACCCATCAACCTCCTCTTATTTAAGTTTTTATTGAAGCATTCGAGAGTTACGCAATAATCTTTGGGAAAGGCCAGGATCGTAGTTAAGCATCGTAGAAAGCTTGCCTCTTCCTGATCCATTCCTCCATCACGCCCTCCGGTGCCCAGGTGCCGAAGAGGGCAGTGCCCATGTCCAGATATGCCACGAACAGAGCCTTGTAGTCGGTTTCTGGTCTGTCCACGGTGTCATTCATGACGGGAGTGCCTTCCGAGGGCAGCACCAGGAGAGATGCAGCGACCAGAGCTGCTAAAACAAGAAGATTAAATTCAAGTCCGAACATTATTTTCACTGGCATTGGAATGGTGATGCAACCACTGGTGGCTGCTGCTTTTATATGGATTATGTACCCCGTAGGGTGGTGCAAGTGCATATGCGGTAGTGGCACTGAAAGTTGATGACCCACTTCTCAATGTTGCCACAGTTGTTGGTCAGTAACTAAATGCACTGAAAATAACCATATATATTTCAGTTTTAAGAATTGGAAAAAGGTGTTTAACTTTTAAGTGCCTGTAGTACATGTTCCTCCTATATCTTTTGAATTTTTTTAAAGCAATTTTTAAGCATTTGTTTTTTTGGTGTAGGGCCTCGGTATTGGACTTGTAAACACGCCTGCAGTCATGGCAAATATTTGGCCACTTGTCCGACACGTTTATCAGCGAATAACAAATAATATAAAACTAAAAATTAAACAATATTTAAGCGGATCAGGGGCAGATACTGTGGCAAACAATTTTTTAGCTTGTCCGCTTGTTGGATGGCGCTCAAAATCCAATTTGTAGAACGCGCATCAAGGCGTTTCATGTGTGAATGTGCGTGGATCTATCTGCTCGGATGAGCCAACCAACACAGATGACCGGATGGCCACATGACACCGCCAACGCCACCGCCATCCATCAATCATTTGGCCAAAGAGCCCGTAAGAGCAGCCAAAAAACGCGCCTCAAGTGCAGCTGCTTAGCAGCGCTTAATGTTAATTGATCGAGCTTTTGTTTAATTAAAATTTCAGATTTGGGTCACACGATACTCAAGCGCCGTCTTAGATTCATATGCGGAAATGGTTATTCTTCCTTCCATTAACCTCTGCCGCGACATAAAGCGTGGTCAATAAATTATGCGGCCCAAATGGAAGGAATTTGCCGGGCTATAACCCGATTTGCCACATTTTTTGTTTGTGCGTGTGAAAACCTAAAAAAGTCAACATACAAATGAAAACGAAAGCGATTTTGGGACAACAGTGAAAGCCAAAAAAAGGAGAACTTTAACTATATCCAATTTCAAAGTTTATTTTAATTAAAAATTTACCAAAAAAAAAAAAAACAATTACAAAAGTGTGCCAAAAAAAAAGTTATTGTTTCGGGTCATCGTGATTAATTATGCGGTTTTTAGATTCGTTTATTATTACAGTCATTGAAGGTCACCTATTTTGGTATTAAATTCCATCCACTGCCAGATACTACTGTCTTATAATTTCCCAGGCAAACACGCCCTTAAAAAAATACAAAGTTGACAGCATTTTGTGGGCTCCTTTCTTTTATTTTCATTTTTATGGATTCCAACTGATACTGTTATGTAGGCTAGTAGCGGCAACATCTTCACCAGAAACAGCAACAGGTTGTCACCGGTTTCCCAGCAGCCACATCCTCATTATTAGCTTCAACATTGCCATCATCATCATCATCGTCACACGCAATCGATTGGGGCTTTGTTGTTGTTTTGGTTTTGGCTTGTATCTTCTTCTTCTGTTTTTTGTTTGGGGTCTGAATGTCTGGGTTGTGGATGCTGCTGCTGCTGCTGGCCAAACTCTTTTTGGCCAAAATATTTCGATTACCTTTTGGATGCCCGAGTTCAGTTCAAGTTCGCGCCTCGAACGGTACAGTTTGTCACGGCTCCGCTTCGTTGCCGGCTCCTTTCCGCCTCGAATCGTTCAAAGGATATCAACTATACGACTGGCAGGATAATGCTTCAGCCGCTTATCAGCTAGTGTGTTTGTGAAGTTACTTTGTGCCCAAAAAATACTTATCATATATTTCAAAAGTTCACAAGAGTGGTGACCTAACCGAAAAACTAATTAAATTTCGGTCCAGTTAAATCGTTTCTTCGGAGATAAATAAGGTAAAAATGTGACTGCATCGAACACAAAAAGAGATAATCATCTGAGAGAATTCAAACAATAAATAATCACATATATACACATTAAAAGTTGAGCTTGACAAATACCCAACGCCCACAAATTCGCAAAAGTTCTAAAAAATACAGTAAGCACAAATGTGACTCAAAACATATAAAGATTTTAGATAAATCAGTAAATTAAATAAAAAGCGTTTTTAAAGATTCCGATGATTTTTTAATCGTGGGTATAAAATTTATGGTAGTTTGTGACAATCTACTTTGAGTTTTAAAAAACATCAGGGTGTTTAATTTATTCTTTGAATAAAAGATATTTAATATAAGTAATAATAAAATGTTCCTTTTTGTAAAAAAAGCTTAGAAAAATAATTATGTGTAAAAAGGATTTTCTTACAAATATGTAAATTTGTTCCCAACTCATAAAGGATATATTTTTGTTGTCTCCAAAATATTAAATAGGTTTTCAACTTTTAACATTGAGTCATTTGAAAATCATAAATTCCAAATATTTCTACATAAGGTTTTATTATTTTCTTTTGAACAATTTATAGAATAGTTAAATTAGGGACTAAAGATAAAGATATAGAAGGTAGTAGGATGTAGTTCACATTTTATCAAGATTTAATCAGCTCGGGATCAAATTTTTAGAATTTTATTTTAAAGACTACCAATAAAAAACAAACTTCAACATAATACGTTAATGATATGTTTACATATTCCACTTTTCTGAACCCCTTGAAATAAAATAGCATTGTATACGGATATAGAATCAGCTATTCACGGATCTCCCTCAATCGCTGAGACAGCCAGAAGTGGCTCACTCATCTCGTGTTACGCACTCGCTTTACGTCATCTGACCATAACCGACCAAAATTCCAGAGATGCGGGCTCTTCAAGTCAAATCTGTCTAAAAAAGTTGATGAGCAATCGTGAGAAGCGCTGAGGCGAAAAAAAATGAGACTGACATGTCTAGAAGATCCTTCTAAATATATTCGCACATACGAGCATGTCTATAAATTTGAACCCATCCCTGGGCCAGTCATCAATTTTCGGCGGGATGACACTCAAGAGTCAAGGCTTGTCGGCGCCAATGGAGTCAAAGATAGATATTCGCTATAATTAAATATATCCAACCGGGGGTAACCCGTTCTCGTGATATCTGTTGAAGATTTATGGTTCACTTCGGCCCGGCTCGAAAACGTGCTGCCAATTAATTTGCACCAAACTCAGCCTGAGATCATAAAAAATAATGATCGAGGCATTTGAATTACAGCAAATACAGATATATATGTGTAGAGTCTTTTGGATAATCCACCATCATCTCATTGAAAATAGTTTGATGGGCTTTAACCATTCTCTTTTATTATATTTTCAATGCAAAGTCTGTTATCTGAAATTTTCCTTCCCTATTCTTGGCTTCTTGTTTCGGGGGGCCTCTCATCTTAATCATCATTTGTCTGGCATTTTAATGTTTTGATGGATCATTGAAAACAATGAGAAGTAAAACATTTTCTACCGAATGCTTCCTAGTTGTCTGTTGTTTTTCGGCTTTCGGTTTTCAGATTTTGATTTTTGGTCTTCTGTTGGTGCCTTTGCTCTTGATACTGACCCTGAAAGTGTCGAATTGTAAATGGTTTTTTTGTAACGAGTCTGCGGGGCATTCCAATCCGAAGATAAGTACCACCTTTGAAGAAGTCATTTTCCTATTTTCCATTCTTCGTCTGCAATCGCGGCATTTGCATATTGTGAGTGTGTGAATGGATGGATGGATGGATGGCAGAAGAGCTTCCAAGAGCTTCTGGCCAAAGAGGAATCATTAAAATTCAATTAGATGTCGCTTAGATAGTCATTATATAGAACTGTTCAGCTTACAGTTTGTTGACTTGCAGGAAGGTTATTGACTGCCAGGGAATGTCAACCGTTGCGATGCAATTATTTTGGCCATAATTATGATTTTACAATTGTTACATCACCAGCCAGTGGACTTATATAAACGATAGAGTTATCATTTTTGATGGTTAGACAATTACAATGGTCCCAGAAATAACTATTAGCTGGCACAGTTCATTTTCGTTTTCATTTGCTTTAAATGCCTTTGAGGTGCACTATCCAAATCAAATCTCTGGCAAACAATTGCCACTGAAAAGTTTCATTGAGCGGCCGGTGGAGTGCTATTTTTTTCGCTTACCATTCGACTTCCTTACACAACAATCAATGCGAACAATTAAAGGTAATAATTCAGGGTGAAGACAAGTGAAGATGGCTCGCATTGTGAAGAGTTTGGCAAGTTCGTTGCCTAAGTCTTTCGTTTTGATTTGCATGAAATATGAAATTTATCTGCGCTGCCCGCTCCATCTGTATCTGTATCTTTGCTGTCAGCACATATCATTCCATAAAACATAATAGCGGCAAATGACCTCAGCGGCCCATCGAGAATTGATGGCTCAAGTGTTTAACTGGAAGCGCTGCGAATACTTGATTTCTGTTTGTGCTTAGTATTGATTTGTTTTGGCTAATTCGGAATTAGCCACATTCTAATAAGGCCCGATTGTGATTAATAATCGCTGCCCATCAATTAAACGCCAGCCAGATGATTAATGATTCGCATTCGGCATAGAGAGTGAAATTATGAACTCTTCAGTTCAAATCGAATCGAGATCTGATCATAAATATTTAAGCGATTCGAAGTGGCACCACATCTAGATCAAGCGGAAATCTTGGCGGGCATTTCAGGGTCAGACAGTGCCTCCTTTTATTGACAGCATGGAATGCACACGATAAGCCCAATCGAATTTTAACTGCCTTTTGATGGACGCACTTTGCCGTAAATGGCCCCGCAGCTCCTACGCTTGACTGTTCGCACAGTCCCGCCAAATAGTCAGTGTCCCAACCGTAAACGGCATTTGTTTGGGCCACATAAATCAGTTGGCCAGTTGAATATCCGCTCGATTTGGTTACGTGAGAGTTTCGGACACGCCTCGAGATACTACAAGATACGCTATGCTCCATCCATATGCTAATGAGTGGCCCCTTACGTGTTTCCGTTGTTAGCCGCATTTGTATGCAAATGGGCCAAAACGCACATTTTAATCAATGAGCTTGGCTCTGGCCCGATTCATGGTTTATCAATCAGCCTAATGAATAAAGTGTCGCAAAACGCCGCTTACAAAATGTCACAATTAATCCAATTCGCATCTTTCTGATTTATTCCAGCATGTGGCCACCCAGCTTCTGTCTGTGGTTGGCTCTCGCCCTCCTTGTGGGCGTGGCCAGTGGCCAAAGCAGCAACCACGGAAACTTCGAGGATGCCGACAAATCCAACGAGTATACGGATCAGCAGTTCGACCTAAGGCACACGATTCCCGGAGAGCCTGGCCTGGATTATCCTATTTTGAGTGCTCCTCCCAAGACCAGCTTTGTGTGCCGGGGTCGTCATGAAGGTGGGTTGTTCATCTCAGGAAATTAAATTAGTTTACTAACCTTATATACTTTTTACTCCTCAGGATACTACGCCGATGTGGAGAGTCGTTGTCAGGCATTCCGCATCTGTGCCCACACCGCCCGATCGCCTCAGGGTTTCGGTTTCCTGTGCCCCAATGGAACCCTTTTCAGTCAGAAGCACTTTGTCTGCGACTGGTATCGCAACGTCAACTGCGACGAGTCTGAGAGATTCTATGACATGAACGAGGAGAAAACCGTGGGCAGCACCCACGAGATGATGGAGCGAGTGCGTCACATGATGGAGTATCCCATGAAGACAATCACAAAGGCCTTGCAGCAGGTCCAAACTCAGTCCCAGAATCCACACCGCAGTCTCAGGAAGGACCTGAGTGGAGATGGCGCTGCTCTCAGTGAACCAGCAGCTGTTCAGCCAGTTGTGTCCCAAGAATCCCCCCTAGAAGTTGGTCGTGGCGAGGCCCTTAAGAGTGAGCCGTTGATTCCGACAAAGACCGCTGCCGATGACGAGGGTATATATGTGAACAGCTTGGGAGAACTGTCATCCGATCCTGGCATTCAGTTTGATCACACCAATGCCCACATCATAGCTGAGTATCCCCGGGAGTATCACTACCAAAAGCAGAAGAACTTTGCTGAGCGGGTGAATGCGGGTCTGGAGGAGTTCACGGATGCCCTGTCCACGTCTGGAGAGAACTTGGCTCCCGATTATATGAAGCACATTCGGAACACGAAGGATGAAGCAGTTCAAATAGATCTGGTCTCGAATATAAACAACTTACTGGATGAAGTGTCCACGGATGTGGATCCCTCGGTTTCCGGTTATCAGTCGATGGCTCCGCCGAAGGTCAAGCAGCCCTTCCGGTTCCTGAGTCGCGGATTTGCGATGCAGGCTGAGAAGGGATCGCCCAATGGCTATGGCTATAAGAAGCCCAAACTGACGCCCAGTACGGTGAGATTTACGGTAAGCCAAGAGACTCTAACTTAAGTATCCAGACTTCATAAATCCTTTCCCACTATTATTAGTAACTCTATCGTAGTGCTATCCTAACAATCTCTATTTCTATCTATCTTTCTATCTCTATCCACTATTGCTATCAACTTTTGCTTACATTTGCAACCCGAAACCACAAAATACACATCACACTTAAAACCAAAAACACAGCCCAACGAGATACCCACCGAAGATCACAAATCCATTGACCACCAAAAACACAAATTGTCCAAAACCACAAGCACTACCACTGAAACCATTGAGCCACTGCTGATTGCTCCAACTCTGCCACCGGTTGAGGGCGATGAGGTAACCGTCCCGGAGACCACAGAAGCTCCATTTACTGCCACAACCGTGCCCGAACCACTTACATTGCTGGCACCACCGGAATTGGCGGTTTCTGGGGAAGTTCCCGCAATTGAATCTATTGGCCAGGCCGCTGCATTAACGGCTAGCTTGCCCATTAGCGAGGATATAGTTACGGCAGAGCCTAGTCCAAACCCAAGTCCCGAATCCGTAGAGAAAACTGACGTCCATAACGAGGCGGCTAAGCTGTTGCTGGCAGGTGTCCAGCTCACCTCGCACGACGAGGAGAGAGCTTTCCTGACCAATCAGTTGGTGGAGAACAGTATCCCCAGCAGCATTCCCAGCACCACCACAACCACCACAACCACGACCACTAGCACTAGCACTACTGCGTCACCCACCTTGCTAGCCTCCACGGAGACGGTAACAGAAATCAACAGTTTCCAGGAACGCATCAAAGGATATCGCCGCAATCGTCCTGCAGGCATGCTGAAGAGGGCCAACATTCGTCCTCTTCCGGTGGTGCGAGCTTCGAGCACAACGACCACCACCCAGCGAAGCACCGCCCCCACCAAGAGTTACCTGGAACGTTTGGCGGCCAGTAGGCTGCGCTTATCCCGCTTATCCCAGGCCACAAAGAGCACCTCGAAGGCAACCACAACAGCACCTTTCGCCATCACCACCCCAGCGACGACAACCACTGTATCCTCCCTTTCCCAAGTCCGCGGTGGAGCCGAGCCAGGCCCCAACAAGAAACTGGCCGTTAGAGACATCGACCGGGAGACCAAGGTGGCACCTACTCCGGCAGGAAAAGCCAGCTGGGAGAGTGTCCACAACAATCTGCAACGATTCCAAGTTCAGCGCGGAAATCGCGTCTATACGCCAGCCACCCGAAGCACCGTCAGCTTAGTTAGCACCACTACTAGCCCAACCACGCCCAGAAGCTACAATGTAGCACCTTCGTCCAGACCCACGGCGTCAGCGAGTCGCGGCAAGAGTCGCTATTCGAACTTCAAGACTCAGGCGCCAGTGCAGCGAACCCGCGGCACCACCACGCCTAGAAGCATCACCACTAGCACCTTTAGTCCCAGCACTACCTCCTCCCTGGCCTCCCTGAACCAGCACATCTCCGCCCTGGCCTCGAACTATAACAATGGCTTCAGCTACAACCAGGCACCTCAGATCAGCAAACCCATCCAACAGTCACACGTATTTGCCACTCACACTACTGGCGGCTTGGTTGCTCCCGTCCAGCCCCAGACCCACACCCAATCTCAGACCACATCCAACATTTCGCCCTCCTCTGCTTTCCTTTCCTTCGATAAGTTAACCCGCGCCATTGTTGACGAATCCGTTTTGCAGAATTTTAAGAGTGCCCAGTCCCAACAGCAGCAACACCGCCAGCAGCAACATGCAACGCGACAGGTGGTGAAGCAGCAACCTCCGGCAGTCAGCAGCAGCCCATACGTCAAGCCGGCAGCAGCGCCAGGTGAGAGACATTTTCCAGTTTCTTGGCCATCCTCTGAATCCTTTTTTCCCAAAGCTATTTCAAGCCTGACTGTGCCGCCACGCCCGCAACAACAGCAGCAACCACAATTGTCGCTGCCCACGCCTCCTGGAATTGTGATTGCCCGCGCTGAGGGTCAGCGAATTGCTCCCAACTCCGTGGGCAGTATTGTCTCCAACTTGGCCACCCAGGCACCTGTTAGGAGTGGCCAGCAAGGCAACTCCTATGTTTCCCTCAACGATTTCCTAAACAACAAGTTTGGACAACAAAGTTCGTCGGCTTCCAGCAATATTGCTCCTGCTGCCACATTGCAACAGCAACAACGAGTGCCCCATCAGCAACATCAGCAGCAATATCAGCAAGCCATTCAGCACCAGCAGCGTATCGTCCAGAAGCAGCCCGTTCAGCAGCAACCTCAACTGAGCTATATATCGCAGCAATATCAGCAGCCACAGCAGCAGCATCAGACCATCTACCAGCAATATCAACAGCCCCAAAAGGTGCAACAGCAGCAGTTCCAGCAACAGCAACGCCCCACCATCCACTCCATCCAGCAACCCTACTTGACGCCCAACATCTTCGTGCCCTACCAGCAACAGCAGCAACAGTTGCCCCAGTTCCCGCCACTGGCTCCTCCTGTGGCGGTATCCACCGGCAACATTGCCCAGGGACCGGTGATAGCTGGACGCCATGTGGACCACCTCAACGTACAGCTGCCCACTCTGGGTAATGGTCTGATCCCTGGACTGCAGCTAGCCCAGAAGCGTAGCGACGTGTCGGCCGGCCAACTGCAGCTGGTGGATACCAACAGAGCCGGATCGAGCAAAAGCAGGGAGCGCGCCTTCTACGCCGGGAGGACATCCTACGACGTGCCCCAGAGCAGCGTGGGTCGGCTGCCCAACGATGTGACGCAGACGCTCCGTAGGAGACTGCGTCGCTATTGAAGGATGTGACGATAATTAAGTACTTTGTAGCTAAATTAATAAACTATTTATGTCTAAGCTAAGTCAGTGTACCATAGCAATCACGTGTTTTGACCGAAACAGCCAGCCCATGTATGAGTGTATACTTTTTTCATATTTATTGATAAATAAAACGAACGAAAAGTGAACGAATCGTTTAATCAGTTGCTTGTGAGATTAAGTTTTTATTGTTTATACGAATTTAGGGTTTAAAATTATCAGCAATACGTACAGATCTTACCAAATACGAATACAATACAAGGTTTAATTTAGCTGGCTTTAACGTTTACATTACCACTCTATTATCATTGTTATTTCATCGCATATGTGTTTATCAGTTATACTTATATTGTTGTACAATATTCCGTTTTCCATTTTGAATTGGGCATCGAATGTTATCGCTTACTTGGTGTCAAACATTTTCTATTTATAAGTAACTCTACTGCAACGTCGCATCGCATACACACGCATTGGAATCTCCCTTGGCTACGATCTGGGTACGGGTCTGGATTACTCGCTAGTTATCGGTATGGCATGGAGTATTCGTCGTTTATACACACACATATTGAAATTGAACTAAATCGATACAATTGGCATTTGTGATGCAGGGCATAACGTCGGTTTTGATGGGAGTAGGAGTCTTTAAGCTTAGGTGTAGTTAGAACTAAAAGGTACTAATGAATAGTGCGTAGTACTAGCCGAAAAATAATTTAGTAGGGTTTAGGATTAACTTAAATATAAACAACTAAGGATGCTGTGATTATCGCCTGGGCGGTGCGTCAAAGCCTAAAAATGTACAGCGGAATTTATACAAAAAACACCTCACGGATTACGAAATGCCCTCCTGGCGGCAACGGCAGTCGGTAACTTATGTACAAAAGCTTAAGTAATATCTGCAGCGAACTGCGGGTTGTGTTGGGAATTGGTACGACTCGGGATGGTGTGCCTTCAACGCTCAACGCTCGGCGACCAGGCGGCATTTCTGGACGCGCACTCGTACTCAGGGAAGCGAATGAACATTGAAAGCGGGCGGTGGTGCTGGAGCAGGAGCGGGTGTCACTACCGAGACGACTGGAACTAGTGGCTCCAATTTCACGGATTCGGCAACACCCGACTCTCCGCTGTGTAACTGACAGTGGACCTTGCGGTCCTCTTCGCTTAAACTCCAATTGGCTGATCGGGCGCAGGGTACGTGGGCGGGTGCCTTGCAGCAACGCTGGAAACAGCAGATATTGGCCCCCGACTGCTGGCAGAGCACACACTGATACCGTGTGCTGTCCCACACCGCCGCATCCAGGCCATTGACGTGGGCGCCAATAAGGTGGATGTCGTTGCTCCAAACGGCGCAGTCCTCGTGCAGCCACACCTCGTAGCCGTGCTCCGAGGTCTTGCCCATGCCGCGAAACGTCTCCACGAACTTGGTCTCATGATTGCAGTCCAGCGGGTCCGTCGATGAGCATTGCGACTGCGATTCGTTGGGATCGTCGCTGTAAGACACTTGACTATCATGCGTCTGTTTTCGTTTTCGTTTATGCTGGAAAGGATCTGAGATTAAAGACCATCCAACCCGGATCATTTGTTATCTTACCATGCTGATTTTGGGGGCCTGCATAATAGTGGCCAGGGTGGCGGGCACCACGGGTAGATTTCGATCTTGCACCTTGACCATATCCTCACGCCGTCGCTTACTGACGAACAAGCCATCGATGTCCTGAACACCCGGCGCCTGCAGAGCGGCTCGGTACTCTTCGCAGTCGCTGGTCACCAGATACGGACCAAAGAGATCGCCCAGACCCAGCTTGTGGGGGCCGCGTTTGCAGAACACACAAATCCAGGTGGAGTCCGTGGTGTCCGCGTCGTAGCGATTGCTCAGCGTTGAACTGTGCATGCCCCGTAGGTTCTTCCTCTCGTGCGGCGCCTTCTTGGCCTTCGTTTGCTTCTCATTCACGTCCTCGGCGTTGTGCGTATTTTTGATAGTCACACTTCCGTCTGCCTTGATGAGAATGAACGGGGACTTGCCCTTCAAGTCTGGGGCGGAGGCCACTCCATTTGTGGGCGCTGAGGTGCTGTCCTCATCCGTTGTGTTGTTTTGCATTTTTCGTCCCGCCTTCTTTCCATTATGCTTGGCATTCTTTGCGTTTCCGGAGCCCTTGCCTGCCGCTCCTCCCTTTTTGCCCTTTCCTGCATTCTTTTTCTTGGCTGCAGCGCCCGCTTTTCCCTTGGGAGCCAACCGAGCTGCCAGGGCAGCCGCAGCTGCCGCCGAGGTACTGGGCTTGTCGTCGTCAATCTCCTCGTCCTCCAGCGGCTCTGGCTCTGCCGCCTTTTTCTTCCGCCCCGTCGCTTTCTTAGCGGGAGGCTCGTCAATCATGAACCGCAGCAGCGAGACATCCATTCCCATGGAGAGGCGGCGGGGAGGTGGCCTGCGAGTTGGCGCAGTTTTGGGGGCAGCAGGTTCTTTGGCTTTACCTTCGTCCACTGCTGCTAGGGGAGTTGAGGTGGAGCGGGCTTCTGGCGTGGGGCTGTGCACGGGACTGGGCATCGTGGACTTCATTGCCGCCTTGGTCGCCATGGGACGTATTTCAGGTGTTGGGGTTGCAACAGGCGCAGCTTCCACTTTTTCCGCTGGCGCCTCTTCGGGTTTGGCGCTGTCCAGAGCCAGCTGTGCGCTCAAATCGTGATTTCCAGCTTCCCCCGTTTCCACAGTGGATTTCTCCGGCGTGCAGGTGCGATCTGGTTCCTCTTCAATGCCGGCAAACATCTGCTCCAGCTTATCCTCCACCTCGCCAAAGGGGCAGGGCTCGGCTTCGATCTTCTTGGGAGATTCCGTCACCGGAGTTGGGGCAGCAGGGAGGGCAGCAGGTGCAGCTGGAGGGGATGCCTTGTTTGTCGCCGTCTCCTCTTCTTCGTCGCACTCGTGAACACTGACCGCCGGCCTTGCATCGATGTTTCCCTGCTCCACGAGGGCGGGCGATGCTGGGGTATCGGTGGTGGCCTTGTTACTCACCTCCGACTTCTGATCTCTACGAACATCACTGCTTGCCCGACTGCTATGGGTGTTGGCGCTGGAGCTACTCGAACTACTACTGCTGCTATTACTTTGCGGACTGGGTGGCGGCATGCTCGGCGGTGTGGACTTCTTAGCACCAGGAGGTTCATCCTCATGGGTCTGACGCTGCTGCTCGGTGAGGTTGCGCTGCAGCAGGGCCTGCCGCTGCTTCTTGGTCTTGGGGTTCTCGTTGTCATTGTACGGCGTTGAGCTGTTGCTGTTGCTGTTCTCCACTGGTGCCGGTGATCCGTTGCTTCCGTTCTCCTGCGGCGCCTTCTCATTCTGTAAACTAAATGGCTGGAACTCCGTGCCTCCGTTTTTGGGACTACAGCTGTTGCCATGAATAAGCTGCTGCTGTTGCTGTAGCTGCTGCTTGCTGGTGGCTCCTTCGGGGGCATTTTCATTTGGCGTTACCCTCATCACCATACTGGATTTCCGTTTGCGGCGCTTCCGACTGTTACTGCTATTGCTATTGGACTCCAGAGACTCTTCGTTCGAAGTCGTCAGGTAGGGAGATTCAGGGGCCTCCGGAGCCGGCTTCTCCGAATCTGCGTTCCGGTAGGAGAGATCCGTAATAACAGGCTGCTCTTCAGCTTCTGAATCCGGCTTGCCTTTCACCGCCACGTCGAGATTCGTCAGTTGCGCATTGCGGGAATGATGTGTCTGCTGTTGCAGCGGTGTTGTGGCCCCCAGTTGCTGCTGATGGACCACATCCTGCGGTTGCCCTTGAAACGGGGCATTGGTCAAGTGGGGTGGCAGAGACGGCGGTTGCTGGTTGAGATAGTGCAAGTGTTGAGGATGCGACTGCGACTGTGATTGTGACTGGGATTGATCCGGCTGCAGGTGCTGGTACCCGCCTGGGACCGGACCTCCACCCGCGCTGTTCAGGGGATGATGCAAATGCAGCTGATTGTAGTCCATGGTGGGTGATTGCATCTGATGTGGGGCAGACCCCAGCGGTGACTGAGGAGTGGGTGGTGTCTGGGGGCCATTGAATTTGGCAGCCAAGTTGTACGGCGGCTGCGGCTGCTGCTGATGAAAGTTGCGTAATGGCGATGCTGTTTGGGTTAAAAGACTCACATTAGATTCAAGATTTGGTTGCAATATTACCATCAACTCACGTTTCTTGCTGCTGCCATGTTGCTGTTGCACGTTGTGGGCAGGTAGCTTGGTGGATCCTGCTCCCGGGTAGCCGCAGTCTTTGTCTTTCGGCATGCTCTTCCCCGCCTGCAGTTCGTGGTCGAAGCTGCGCTTCAGTTGTGCCAGCTTGAAGTTCTCGTCGCGAGTTGGCATGTAGTGCGGGCTGGTTATGTTGTTGTTACTGCTGGTGCTGCTGTTGTTGCTCCCGCCATGATTGCTGTTGCCGGAGGATACGGATGCGGGTGGCGGAGGCGGCAGAAGCGATTCACAGTCGGCTCCATTTGTGATTCCAGGAGCAGAGACCACTGGATTCTGGCTGCTGGACTGCAGTAAGCTGGCATGTGCAGCAGCCATCGCAGCCAAGTGTCCTTGTTGCTGTTGCTGCTGCTGAGCGGCATTGGTCGTGAGATTTTGACTGCTTTTTGGGGCGGGATAAGTTGATTAAAAATTCCTCACTACGGGAAACTGAATCTCACATTGATGTGTAGTTAGGGGCATGAATGAGCGATTGCGGCTGTTGTTGCTGGGTCTGGTGTTGCGGGTGCTGTTGTTGTGGCTGCGACTGCTGTTGCTGCTTGGCCAACGGCTGGGCCGCATTGCGGGCGGATTGCAACGACAGGTCCATGGAGTCGAAGGGTAATGTTTCAGTGTATGGTGGTGCCAGCAATGGATTCATCTGATGATGGTGATCCAGCTAAAGTGAAAAACAGAAACGCTTATTAGAACTCTTAGTGATGGCTACAGTCGCTCCAAAGGATTACAACAGGCGGCAACAACACAAAGCAACTTAGGTCAACGCATAACAACAATAACTAAACGAGGCTAAAGGAGGCTCTACTAAAGGCGGGAGAATCGAACATGCTTTTCGGGTTGGTCTAATATCTGGGTTTTTGCGATCCTTAGCGGCTTTACGTTTTTGTGATTGGCCGACATAAAATTGTAAATGGCATCGGGTGGCGGGGGTGGATGCGGATGAGGATGTGGCGGCTGGGCGGGGGCAGAGCTGGCCCCGGACATGTGCCAGGCCAGCGGTGAGCGCACCATGCCGGGCCGTTCATTTGACATGTGCGCCAACTGCGGCTGCCGCGGTATATACGATGGAATCTGTAAACACAGGAGGGAGCATTATGTATTGCTTGGTGGAATAATTTTTCCAGTTTCACACTCACTTGCAGGGGATTCCATGATGGATTCTGCGCCGCCTGGCTGAGATGGCCCGGATGCGGGTGATTGTTGTTAGCCATCACAGGACTAATGAGCAGCCAGGATCATAAGTTGTCTAGCAATCCGTGGGAATGTGACAGTTAAATGATAAAGGGACAGCTGGGAGAGAGTGGCAGGGGAAGAAGGGGAAAAAAACCTCGTCTAATTTTGCACCCGCCAGACGGAAGGTCCTGCCACATGGACAGAGGAGAGTTGAACGGAATCGAGGAGCTGCTAACTCCCAAGATGCGGCTCCAATTGGCCCATAAACAGACCGTACCGTATCGCACCGCACGCACTTTTTTCACACCAACACCACCACCCACGGAAGGATTTCTTCTTCGTTTTCGGCGAGCTAGCGAGCGAGAGGCGAGGAGGGGAGCCGCTTCGTTTTCAGCGAGCGAACGAGGAGCCGCTTCGCTCTCGTGGTCCTTGCGCGATAACCTCCCTTGCACGCTACGCCACAAGCACGCGGTCTTTTCAACTGGCCAACGTCCTTTTGCCCACGTTTACGCCGCTCAGCTCCATTGCCAGTTATGTGTGGCTTTTCTTTAAGCGTTTTTAACTTCTTTGCATTTAGTTTGTTAGTTTGGCCAAGGCGTAAAAGCTGTATGGTACCTCGATTTTCAGCGGTAGCGCATTGCGAATTCGTTGCGACGGCGTGCGAATTTTTCTTGTTTTGGGTCGAAAATCCCAGACCGATTGGAACGCGTTATGGGGCAGCGTTCCGGCAGCTAACACATGGCGGCCAATAATGTTTGTCCTAAAGATGCTGGTTTTACAAATGCCGCTAAGTCGTTGTTGTATTTTACTTTTATTTTGGCTTTTCAATTGTTTAAAACAAAATGTAATTTATGTGTGTTGGCAGGGTGGCCGATGCCAGTTTAGTAGCAGAATACCAAAAGAAAAATACCGTAACAGCAAAGGATATAAAATACTGTTTAAACCAGAATTATCATTTTTCAAATTACATAAATTTGGCTGCTTTTAAAAATTATTTCTTTATAAAAATATTTTTATTGCTTTCCTATAATATTATTAAATTTGTGGAAGCTATTAATTTGATTAATTTAAAAATTTCCCTTTTACCTCCATGGGAAATTATTTTGGCGGCAAAATGCGGTCACACTTAAAAATGCATTAAAAGGCAAAATTTTCAATTTGTAACACAAAATGAGCCCTCTGAAGCGTGGAGCGCTTATTGTTTTTGAAGGATGCGACCGCAGTGGGAAGAGCACACAAAGCCGGCGACTAGGTAAGAAGCGTAAGCAACCAGAAGCCACCTTCTTTAAAGACATCTATGCCTTCCAGCTGAGCTTCTCAAATCGAAAGGAATACCCACGGAGTCCTTAAACTTCCCGGCTCGGTCTACAAACATTGGTCAGGTTGTAAACGGTTATCTGACAAACAGCAAGGACCTGCCGGATGAGGTAATCCACCTCCTGTTCACCTCCAACCGCTGGGAGCTAATGGGAAAGCTGAGACAGAAACTACTTGCCGGCACGACGCTCATTGTGGATCGATATTCCTATTCCGGCGTGGCCTACAGCGTGGCCAAGGGAATGGACTTTGAATGGTGTTATGCGCCGGAAAGGGGCCTCATCAAGCCGGATGCCGTTTTCTACCTTAGAGCAGCACCTGAAAGTCTTGCAAAGCGCAGTGAATTCGGCGAGGAGCGGTAAGTGCAAGTAAAATTTAAGGAATATAGCCTTAATTCAACTAAATTTTCCTTTCCTATGATCAGCTACGAGAAGGTAGAGTTTCAAAGCCGCGTTTCTGCTGTATTCGATCGTATTTGCTCGAACGAGTCCACCTATTGGCACCAGTTGGATGCCAGTCAAACAGCCGATGATTTGCACTCCCTGATAGCTGGCACTGCGGAGAAACTCCTCCCGCAAGTAGCTACCCAGCCCCTGGATAAGTTGTCATAGCCAAGCGCTGGACACGGTCATATATTAGCCTGGATTTACGTTGATTTATGCAATACACGTTCGTTTGTAATAAATGTATTAAATGCCCATTGTTTTGCCTGTGGCGCTTAATTTTTAATTTACGATAAGGATAAAAAGCAATAAATAAAGCCATTGGCGTCGAAGGTCGTTAGGTGTTGAGCGAAATTCGAAATTTACATCAACTAGATTAAGGAATGCGAATGGTTTATACAAATGAATATACACATTTGTGTGTGTAGGTGGGATTATTTGAAAGCCCCAACGTAAATGCAATTTTATTTCCATAATCCCCTTGACGAAAGTTGTTCAAGGATTGAGACCACATGCAATTTTTGTTGCTCCATTGTAGTTTTTTTTTGTATATTTTATACACCGCCACTAAATACTAATTGTAATCTAAACCGAAAAATAATTTATGGGGATCAAACTTAGTTGCTAAACCACAAAAAGCCAAAATTCCAATTGGGCCAAGTCCACTCTCCTTTGCATTCGAGTCTACTATTTGAATTCATAGCTATCATAGCCCAGGTCTTCGCGTCGAGTGCGAGAGCTGGGATTTCGGTTGCGGAGAGTCAGTTGGCGGTATCCTACGCCAGGTTTATAGTCCACATTGATGCTGTGATGATGCGTCCTTAGGGTGGAGGCGCCACTCCGCTTCTTCTGCGCCTGATGATAGAAGGCGATGTCCCCATAGCTGTGTTTCGGCCACATGCACTCGCAACCGGAGGGCACTGTCCGTGTCTCGGATTCCCAGCAACCGGAGCCCTCGTTCAATCGGATCAGGTGAATGGTGCGATTCAGTTGGATGCAGGAGAAGCCTGTCGCAGAGCATATCTGTTGGGGTAATCAATAGTTAAGTTGAGAAGATTTTTGAAGAAAGTGTTTAAGCTCACCTCTCGTTTTTCGCCTCTTTCGGAAAGCAGGGCCCGGAGCAGTTCATTGCCCCTGTAGCCATACTCGTAATTGTGATTCCGGGACGGAAGGGGCGAATAGTTGTTGGCACAGGTGACCTCCACGTAGTGATTGGGACGGTATTCTCCGCTGTCCAGCTTAACGGTGACGCGATTCGTCGGACAGAGCGACTGGTAAGTGACCACCTATAAGTATATTTTATTTTTAGCTCAACCATGTTTTCTATTTAGTTCTGAATGTGTCTTTACCCCATCTGAGCCGGGATTGGGGCCAATTAAGTGCTGGGGTGGGGGCATAACGCTGCGCACGCGTCGCTTTCGCACATTTTGAATGCCGTAGGGAAGCTGCGCACTCAACTCATTGGCTTCCTCATCCTGACCCTCCCGGGTCACAGCGTAGTCCTCTTCGCCCTCGACGTCCACGCCATCATCTCCGGCCAACTCCGCCTGACCTGGTACTGGTGCCAGTCTTTCATCATCTTCAGCTGCCCTAAAAATTGCATATGCATGGAAAATTTGTTAGTTGTGGCCATGAATTAGTGTAGAACAGAGCGCGCCAGAGAAGCTGCCAACGCCTCCCGTGGATTCTGTTTCCGTAGGCAGGCGGAAATGACTGTAAAAGCGGTTATGCACAGAGAGAATACCACACATAACAATTCAATTTAATAAAAAGCAATAAACTAACTGTAGGATAGAAACTTTTATGAATTGTATGGATAAGCTTCTGACCAATTTACAGAATTCAAAATATCTATTTCGAATTTCTGAAACCCATATACACGATCTATTTTTCTTTGTGGCACAATGTCCGCGATGGTTTAAAAAAAAAATTGGTTTTTGACGTTTGTTATTTGCATGGCTGCCGTTTCTTTTCTGCCATTTTTCCAGCTGGCCAACAAAAGCGCATCATTTTGCATTCAACTGCAGCAAATGCCAATGAATTTTTTAGCTTTCGCTTTGCCGCGAAGCTTTGTCTGCCTGGAGGAGATTGGGGCCACCCAAACGGAGGCAGGGCCCGGGTAGACGGGCGCTTCTCCTGCTAGTGGCGTTGGCGCTGTCCGGAGTCCTCAACACTGAGTGCTGAGCCTGTGGTGCGGCACAAAGCTCTCCGTTACGCGGCTGTCGGTGGCTGCCAGCGGATTTCCCTCTTTCGTTTTCGAAGCTCTAGTGCTGGGCCCCTTACTCCACACCCAATCCCTTATCCCTTCCCGTTATTCGCTCCTGCATATCCTCGGCCCGGTTCTACCATCCTTCCCTCAAGCTTTGGCTTTCAGAACCAATGGCGTTGGCATTTCAGGGCAACAACGGCTTTGATAGTTTTGTCGCAGAGTTTGCGAAAATGTTTTGAAATGAATGCAGCCGGAATAGTTGAGGTGAGTTGGCTCGTTTAAATTAGCACACAAAAAAATGGCATGAAGGATGTAAAATGGCTTTGTGGCTTAAGGACACCGGCAGGAAAATAATTGGCATCTACCTTGTTTTTTTTTTCAAAAAGAAGAAACGTAAATCGATTTCGTTTAAGCTGTGGCTTATTTTGTTAAATTTGTTGTGACATTTTTAAGGAACTTTTAAGGAAGAAGAGTTTCCTTCCAACTTTTTATCATTTGGCCAACTGTGCCATATTTTTGGTTATTTTTATTTTTGGTTATTATTATTTTTGGTTGAATCTCTCTTGGGTCTTGAGCCATCTCATTTTTTTCTGCATGCAATGCCCCGATTGCGTAATCCCTGGCTCTGAAGTCACAGCATGATCCATGCAGCTCCTGATCTCGTTCAGTACGACAAAGGGGATAAACCCAGTCAACTGGGTAGGAATCAGCTTAAGTTCTTACGTTTGCGCTCACGCTTACGTCAGGGATGATGGCATTGACATTTAGTTGATATGCAACTAGGAGACCAGAGCCAAGATTAAGCCGAATGTCCAGGATGAGTCCTTGCAGGAGCCAAGGCTTCACTCCCATTGTCGGCTGCAATCATATGCATCCAGATTTTCCGGAATATGAGCTCAATGAATGCCGTCCTTACTCCGGACGAATGACCAATTTTCGACTCTCCTTTCAGCTTTCATTTTAGGGTTTGGGGATGGGAAACCAAAAGGATAAAGTGCAGGGTATTGTATAATAATAAAAATAATGAGACTTGAATACTTAAAAAACTGGTAAGTGCTCCATAACGATTTATCAAAAATTTGTTAATAAAATAATTGTTTTCTACCAACCTTTGATTAATGTTGCTGTTGCGGCTTCGTCGAGTAAGCTGCAATTGGTCGTGCCAGTTGCTGGTGTCTTCCCCGTAATCGTTGCTGTTGCTGCTGTCACGGTCCTGGCCATCAAACCTGTCCACACCTTGAACGGCCGCATTTAAGTCGGACAATTGCAGACGGAAGTCGTTGCGAGCATTCTCGGGATCATCATCAAACTCTCCTAGTCCCTGTTCCTGTTGCTGTTGTTCATGTTGCTGCTGTTGCTGTTGCTGTTGCTGCTGCTGCTGTTGTTCATGTTGCTGTTGGCTGTCGTATATGCCGTGGATGGGATTTCCGTAGAGTTTTTGCTGTTGTTGCTGGTAATACTGCTGCTGTTGCTGCCATTTGGCCGGTGCTTTGTTGTAGTTATAGTTGCCATTGTTGTCGGACTCGTTGCTATCTGCAATGCCATCAACATCCCCGTACACTCGGTACTTGTAGTTGTTGTTATTACTGGCAGTACTATAGTCATAGCTATATCTATTGTTTTCCAGCCCCGCCGTCGAATCCATGGCCTTAGCAGCCTCCTCCTCCTCATCCTCGCAGGCCACTGCGAGCGTTCGTCTGGAAGAGCCGCTGTCAAAGCATCGGGATGCCAGGATGGCGGCCAAGAGCAGCTGCAAATGTGGCAAAAACAATGAGATACAGATACAGATACTGATACGGATACATGCGATGAAGGGGGTTCAGAAAGGGAAATGTTGGACAATTGTTGTGTGGCTAATAAACTGCAAAGTGTCAACAGTTGGGCGTAGAATCATTGTTTGCCATGTAAATAAGTACCATACATTTAAATATCTATAGAACTGAGGATTTATTTTAATCATACGCCTCTTAATAATAACAATATGATAAGAAATGGTGAAGATTATTGTTATATGACAAGATTACATTGTTTACTGTTAATTAATACTTATCAGTGTAAAAAGTATTAGAACCCTTAGCCCTATCAGTTTATTGAAACTATAAATAGTTGGTTATTGGAGGAATAACCTATCCTTATCAATGGTCGATTGTTTCTTATTAAATATTACATCATTGTTTCCTCTGGTCTATGAACTTTGTTGCCAAGTGTTGCAACCCCAATATCGACCACTAATTCAGCTAAGAACTTAACAAATTTTCGATTGACGAGACCAAAAACTTAAACAGCTTTCCAGTTCCCAATGCGTCCGTCGGCTAAAGGGAAAGTTCAATTCCCCTGCTGGATGTTGACAATCAATGCGCGTTGAGAATGGAATAACGTCAAGACCAAAGCCGAACCCAAATAAGATGAAAAGTTTTCGGGTGTCCGGACATCTACTCTTTCCCTCGGTATTCAGTCCTCAGCTCCTCCAATCCTGAGGTTTACCATTCTGGGGCTGATTTTCCGAAAAGTGGTGGTTAAAGTTTTTGGGCCAAGATTTTAGACATGTCTGTATTTGTGTCTGGTGTGGATGTGCGATGGCTCTGATTATGCGGTCGGCTCGGAAAAAAGTGCCTCAAGTGAAAATAGTTGGAAGACCTTTAGCGATAATATGAGGCACGCGCATCCTATAGTGGGAGACACATCCACACGCTTCAGATATACCCATTGCCATATAGCTACATTCATTAGAAGCTCGCACACTACGTGACCGAATAGTTGGCGCCGGAAATGCTCAAAACTAAGATATGAACATGGAGCCGGCAGTTTCTTTGCAGCTCTGTTTCCTGTTCCCACTATGCCCTGACGCTCTACAAGTTCTTTTGTCTCAATCTAGTTTTTACATGCACTTGAAAAAAAAATTTAAAATGTTAATCAGGGCAGAGTGTTCTAAGGATTACCTAAACCCCTTTTAAACAAACTCGAATTACCTATTTTTTAAGCCAAATTTATATATATTTAGCACCAATTTTTCTCTGTATACTGTATATCCTAGTAGATGGCTATATGTGCAAGTATCTGGGATATATGCAAGTGTTGTTGCCGCTCTGGATTTATAAGATTTCTTTTATGCTCTGGCCCGGCCTACCGCAAAACTTCTTTCATTTATCTCCCTCTCACTTTCTGGCCCTGTTCCCCCAATCTCGTTTCGGGTGTTGCCAAGTTTAAGGAGGAGGACCAGGCCAAACCAGGCCAGGCCAGCAGCAAGTTTGTCAAACTATTTGTATGGAATTCACAATTTGTGTTGATGAAGTTTCTTCGAAGTAGAAGTCTCTAGCTTCGGCTTTACGAAGGCGACGGCGTGATCTGCGTGAACTGTGTGAACAAGTGTTTATGGAATTGAATTATTTTGCGTCTTCCTTATTTTGTCTTTTTTTTCCTTTGGCTTTTGGGAGGCCTCGGATTTTCCTTGCCACCGCTCTGAGAAAATCAGGTTGGACTAAGGGCGTCCCAGTTGTGTGTTATCTGTTTTCGGGGCTTACAGGTGGCTTTGTCTTAGGCGTGGGAATAGGCTTTGTGATTTAAAGTTGCCCCTATAAGCGGATTTCGTGGGTCAAGCTGGCTAAAAGCAAAGTATATTTGGTAACAGCTTAGGTGGTTTTTTTAAACCAAAATAAAAATTAAAAACCTAAGGCATATTTAAGGAATTTAATAATAGAATTTAAGCTCAAAAATTGTTTTATTTCTTAACCTCATAGCAATATGATACTTTTGTAAAATATTGCCAACATTTTTAGTTAAAAAATAAACACAGAAACACAAACAATAATACCTTTCGGACAATGGAAAATATAATTTTATAATTTATGAGGCAGTGTTTGTGAATAGTTTTCAACCTTATGCAAATTATTGCTTTTCGTTTATTTTTTCCCCTATATTTTTGTTATGGGTTTTGTTTTTTGTGTCGACAATCGCCACACGGACACGGCTACTGTTGCCATTCAATTACATTTTTGCAATCAAACTGCAATGTGGCCAGACAATGTTCAGCTGCTCACCTGGCCAGGAACAGACAGCCAGAGAGACAGACAGACAGACAGACAGACGCAAAATATGGTGGATATATATACCATATATAATGGGGTGGCATATGGGTGGCATGATATATATATTGCATAAATTTGTGACCTTTCAGTTTTCAATTGAATTTCTCGGCACGGCGGCAATTGTTCGAACAAAACTTGGTCCTTGCCACTCCAGCTGCAACAGTAGTTGTGTCGCCGTTGTAGTTGCAGTTGCAGCTGTATGGTAGCCAAAAAACAACAAGCAACAAGCACGAAAACTAAGCGAGAGCACCAATTTGCATGCTATGTGAGAGTTTTTATGTCCATAGCAAAAAGCACCGAACAAGGACGAACAAGAACAGAAAAGAGAAAAGAGCCTGCAATTCTCCCCTCGATTTGTTTTAATTGTTGCGCTCGCTCCTTGTTTTCGTTGCTGTTGATGTGATCCCCCTCAGCTGGCTTGTTATTGCTATTTTCGTTACTTATTTTTTATTGTTTTTGGTTATTTTGACCATATCTGGCGCTTATTGGCAATTGTCAAATATTGGTTTTGTTTTTGGTATTATGGTTTCATCAACGGCATGAAGCGATTTTAATTAATCGCAAAAGTTTGCCAATATCAAAGTTTCGTTTTAATTTTCGACATGTTGTCAGCAGTTTCGATGAACCAAAAATTTAAGTTTGCGCACTGATTCAATTAAATGTCACCCATGATCCGCACCCTCTTGACTTAATGTTACGCATACGCCATGTGGGACAACTACGGTTGTCATGTCTGCCCACACCATTCTCAAAAGCTAAAGCAACAACTAGTACGAGTGGCAGATTGGTTGCTCTGCTAGCTGCAAATCCTGTTAATCACCTCTATCACAGGTGCGGCATCTGCACGTAGCTCACTTTTTGCCGGGGCCCTAGAAAAGCTGATGCTTAAAGTCGCCGCAATGTTGTAACAGCCAAAGGACAAAAAGGACGATGGGGGGCTTGCCAGGTTAGCATATGCAGGAAGGGAAGTTAAATACACTCAGGCTCTTACTCAGAGTCTTTGATCCTGTTGATACCTTAGTCGGTAGCCGAAAGGAGCTTTAATGCTGCAATTAGTGGCTCACTGCCCTGGCCGGTGGCTTAAATGTGACTCTGCGTTTTACGACTTTCATTTGGGGGCGATTTTAGTGGCAAGTGCAATACGAGGTCCGGTCTGACCCCCAGCCATTGAAGTCCTATCCGTCAGCGGACCAACAATGAACTCGAATGCAATCCGCAAGTGGATCCATACACCCATTTGTGGTGGCACTCAGCAGCTTATTCGTATTCAATGCCAATATCCAATATTGGCAGAACTACTCGCATAATTTTGGAACTCAATCGCCCGCAATTGTCTGCCTTTGTCCAGCGATTAAACCAGGCGATTTCATTTTCACAAAGCCGATTTTACACCCGATGGGATTAAATGGGTGATTTGGGAAGATGTGGCTATAAAAGCCAAAAAGGCAATAGATTATTTTGAATATTCTTTCATTAAAACTAGGAGATTAAATGTTCATTAATATGCAAACAATTTTAGCTTTTCTATTTAGCTTTACTATTTAAAGTTAATTCCTTTGAAAATCATTAAATAGTTCTTACAGAATGCTCTTTTTAGCCTTAAAACTATTTGAAAGTTTGACTTGGCGTGGCTGGCCAAATTCCTGGATGTTTTCCATTGCTTTGATTTGCATATCGATTTGGGAGTGTGCGTGCGAGGAATGCAACAAGTGCAACAATGCAATCAATGCACACTCATATACTAGCACTAACACACAGTATATATTTTAAATGCTGCTCGAGGCATGTGTTTGTGGCATCGTTCGGAATTCCTTGCTGGCTTGCTGCAGCGAACGAGTATGTGTTAGTGGAGCATATTGAAATTGTTGCCATAGCGAGCGTAATCCCTGCCAGCGACGGGTTACACGGTCTGAAAAGGGCACAAACTCTGCCTTTTTTTTCCAAATGATGTTGCTCGTGCTCTTGAATTTTCCTTTTGCCTTTGGTTTTCTTAGAGAAACGACTGCTGATGCTGCTGGTGATGCTGATGCCAACGGAAAAAATGTAATAAACGCCAAGCAAAATATTTGTCAAATCAATTTAGCTTACACCCGGCGAAAGGGTGAGGGTGTCAAGGGCAGGACGAGGAAGAAAATATGCAGAGTTCACCCACGCATACATACGTGCGTGCGTGTGTGGCAGTGAAAGTCGATGGAAAGTTTTGGTCCCAGAGAGATAAATGGCACTTGAACATATTATTCCCTCTTCTGGTGGGGTAAGTTCGACATGTTGAGGTGTATTTGTTATCCCCAATCATTGGGGAGCTAGGGTTAAATACACTTTTGGGATATTGTATATGATGTTTTACTATATTTGCGAGATACTCCAAATGTTTTAACTGAAATTCTGTTGGAAATATTAATAAATATAACATAGTACTAGCATAAAAATGAGTATTCTTTCTTATATTTTATAAGAATATCACCTAGTCTACTTTCACCATCTTTTGTTGTATTTTATGTTATTTTATTTTATTCCGTTTTTATTCCACTCTTATTTGCAATTTGGCCTTTTGTGCCGAAGACCGCCTAACGGGAATATAACATGACAGCGACCCAAGTCTAGCTGTCTGTCGTGTGTGTAAAAAATTATTGAGGACCCTGTTGAAAGGAGGCTGCCACAGCAT